TACTAATTCGAGGCACAATGAACTAAATTATTTACTTTCCCCTACAAGTACCTAGGCAATGACATTTGTAATAGTCACACGTCTTGGGCAGTATTCATTATCATTATTTGCTTTGTTTTATAATATACCAAATATATTTTAAATTTGTACACAACAGATATTTTACTTTATACACTTTTTTGTTAACAGGTAAGTTTTTGAAAAAGTTGTTCGCGTGATGGATACTTTTCAAAAAGACACGAAATACCTGCATATGTGGAACAATACAACTTCTATTATAACTTATTTATGCCCTCGAGTCGAATACTTACTAATATTCCGGTATCGAAACAGTGTCTTTCATACGAATTTTTCGAATGAATCGTGTTATCTCTGATTTGTCAAATGCTGGCACTTCTCTTGTCTACTCGTATTTGCTATTTGTAAACTTGACAACAGTCTGTCCTGATCATGCTTTAGAAGGAAGGGAAAGAACAGACAGATGTCAAGCTTACATATAACAAACACGAATAGGCAAGTGAAGTGTTGCAATAATGCGAATTATTATTAAGGTAACCATATCTATCGATGGGGTATTGTCCGGAACCAGCCGGGATACTTTCTTAGTTAGTAGGAGTAGTTTGTTCCAGTTCAATACTATAAGATATTTTAAGCTACATTTGTTTTCAGAAAAGATTTAGCTTAACTCGTTATAACACTATAAGGTGGAAGTAGGCTATTCTATCATACAACTATGTAGGCACTATTTTACAACAGCTAAAAGAAACACTGCTTTGCGTAAAGTTGAGAAGCCTTGTTAGAGATTTTAATAATAATACATAAATCTGACAAACAGGAACGTGGCTAAACTGGATTCCCATTGAATATAAGAATGAGCATGAATGACTTCACAAATCTATACCCTATCCAACAGTGGTACAGGTCGTTTTGATTTGTGAAAACGTTTTACAATGGCAACCTACCCTTCCCAGTTTAACAATTCATTAACAAAAAGAAGCTTAATATCTACATGCAAAATACATAATGTTAATAAATATAAGTGTCTCGTCCATCAAATTACCGACACAGTTTACGATATTTTTGTTTTGGTGACGAAGTTTTACATCATATACAAAATTCATGATAAGTTCTGTCATTACCTACATGAAACTTAAATATAAAAATGAGATTTTTCAATCACAACGCTACAAAATAATAAAAATAGTCTTAAAAGGCTCATATTTTAAATCCATATTCTATTGCATATAAAAATTATATAATTTACGTAGCTTGATACAAATTTTATTATGACGATGGCACGAGAAATAAATTAGCAATTTCATGTTTTAAACCAATTATTCAGTCTCTAACTAAGCAGTGTTCATTTCATGAATGAAAGCATGAATAGATACCACTCAACCATGCCACTAATATGTTAAAATCCAAAAAATAGCGAAAAATAAATGCGGTTGAGATTTATATCCGATAAACCATCAGTTTCCTTAACATTACATTTTGTATACTTAAACATAAAAGTATTTGTGCTAATGTAAGTTAGGTATAATGCAAAAATAAAAAAGACGTAATTTCATCAAGAGATCCCTTATTTAAATGCCAATAAAATAATGTGCTAAAACGTTCGACGACCTAAACTATCATTAGAAATATACATCTATAAACCCTAGTCTATGTCAAACAGGTTTCAAACTTACAATTTTACAATACGCATAGGTACTATCGTTGTTTATAACAAGCGCACTTGAACCGTGGTACGAATCCAAGTCTTCAATTCCACCTTTACCATCACTAAACTAGCAATTGAACGCGTAAAGGTACTGATAAGCTTGAGCATTCACTTGTAATGCGAATTTTGCATTACAGAAAAATAAACGAGAGCGTTTAAGCGAGCATTCCATCGAAAGTTCTGGTGAGCATTCTAGCGGAAGGACAGTAAATTTGCTTCAAGCTTTTGTTTCTGTCATTGGCTGACCGCCGTCTCCCCTTTTTTAATATAATCCATAAGTATTTAAATGTAGAACACTCGACAGTCAAGCCGGACATCTTCGTGAAGAATATTTTTGACGAGCATCAACGTTCGCTAGATAGATCATGAAAATGTTTGTAGCAATGTTTGGCTCTATGCTTGGCTCTATTCGTTGTTCAATTTGACAAATTAAAAAACGCCGAATGCTCGATGTTCTGTTACAAGAGAATGCTCAAGTTTGTCAGCACTTTCAGGCGGTTTGTACTTTGGATGCGTTTCCCTACGCATTCAATTAGGAAAGTTAACGCCACTAGCTGGCGCCATTGTGGTAGGAAGAACTATGAACGGAGAGTAACGAATGTAGTACTACGTAGTTTCGAGCTGTTAAACTGGCACAATAACTTATTTTTCGGGTAATCTTATCCAAAATATGTCGAATCTGCGCCTTTTTTGTTTAAAGGTGGTTAACGACTTATGATTGAATGGATTGAATTAAATGTTAGTTCATATAACCTATGCTTGATCTAAATAGGTAATATGAATTATGAACTAACATTCAATGAAACGAATTTTCTTTATAATCTTTTAATTGGACGTAATCATTTCGATTTTTTTTTATATAAGTAATCTATTTCAGTTCCATAAAAATAGGTTTTCCATATTATTATGTTCTTTCACCTTTTAAAGGAAACTGCGACTGGATTGATGGAACCGTTTTCAGGCATTGCTATTTACATTTGGTATTTGGTTTGGTATTGGTTCCATCAATTCAGTCAATTTTCTGAAAATAGAACTGCAAGATCGTTACTTTCTATTGATTTTCATATCGTGTGCGCGCTCCCATAGAACCTTTCAGCCTGTTGTTAAGTACGCATAGTTTTCGTACGAAAACACATCCAAAGAGTGAGTCACCCAATGCATACCAAGTTGTTTTACATCGTTAACCTTACTTCATGTCGAATATGCATTATGACAACAAATATATGTTTATGTAAATGTTTGAACAACATAATTAGTGAAAAGGAATATATGTACTATTTTGTACATAATTATTTAAAAGTAAGTATAGAGTTATGTTTTTATTTATTTTTTAAGCATTTAACTGCTAGATGTTTAAATCTAAAGAAAAGTTTACTAGAAAAAGTCAGTGCATTCGCCCGGATTGCGAAGGATGCGGGTTCGAGTCCCGTCCGCTGCCTGGTCTGCGTGGATTTTTTTCTAGTTAACTTTTCTTTAGATTTAAGTATAGAATTTTTCCATAAGCTGACAAGATTGAATGCAATGATTCAATAAACATACTTAGGCCAGTAATTTTCACTTTAAAGTCGACAATGTGAAACAAATTCATGAAGCCTTATCACTAAAGTGCACTTTGTACAGATTGAATCTTATTAACTTATTTGCAAATCCATGTGATACAAACATGTAACAGATGTGAAGATTATAATTATTACTAGATAGGTAGGTTTAATAAATTTTAAATTCCATTAAAAATAACAAAATGCGTTTTATTTTTTTCCATTTCATCCTTGCGTTTAGCTTGTGCTGTATTTTTCTCGGTTGCAGTAATTCCCTATCCAAAAGGCTAGAACTTATAAATTTTGGTCACTTATTCCATGTCTATCTCCAAACCGGCCTTGCAGTTTCCTTACCGAGTACCACTTCTTGACCTTTATACTAGCGCAGGGACGACGAATCGTGATCTCTCCCTCTTACAACCTGAGACCCTTTAAAAGAGGCGCAAAGAAGCAACAGGCAGGTCGGCAGGGTGAGGGTGGCTGGCGTGGCAGGTAGAACTGCTGTATCAGCTATCTTCGCGTTTGGACTATACCGTCACTTAACATCAGGTAGAATGGAGTCATTTGTCGACCCTATCTATAGATTTTTGGTTCTAGTTTCATCCTTTGTGGCGCTGCTGTTGCAAGTTTCCATACAAAATTTGATAATGACAATTGGCACTCGCTAACTTATAATATTTGCATTAAGGCATGTGACGTAATAAATAAGGATGAGCTTAGTTTGTTAGGAAGGGTGCATGTTAACGAGGCTATTTCTACCCGAGTATATGCGCGTTTCAAAACAGTGCCTAGACCCAGCGAAAAACCGGCGGTCGTCAACAAGCGCCCTTACGCTTCGTCTATATTTATGAAGTCCAACTCTTTTTAACTAAAATCCAAAAAAATATATACGGCGATTCTCTATCGTGGGAGAGATCGGTAAAATCGATTATAAATTACTAATCATTTTACTGTGTGAAATTGTACTTTTTTAAAAAATCAGTCAATGTATAACTGATGTACTATAAGAGAGTAGGACCCTCTATGTGGGCGGTGGTCCCCCCCAACTAACACCTGCCAGGATGTATTCCCTATTCATGCTTATTGTGGGGATAGGATTGGTAAATAAAATAACTGAATGAAACAATTTATTGTTTTAAACTTTTAATAAATAAAACTCGCAATATTGCATTGTAATTTTAGTGATGTGTGTATATTTTTCATAACATAAATTTTATTGTAAATATAAAACATAAGATATTTAATTCACATGAACTTGATTAAGTAAAGCATCAAAGTATGAAAAATTTTGGTGGCGTACTTAAGAAGCAAGTTAGCTTTCAAATAAAATCGTAGGCTTTGTAAAGTTTTCAAAATATATTATTAAATTTATTTTATGACAACTTAGGCGTTCATTAATTCTTAACATATGACGAGACTTAAACAACGATTTTAACCCCTACATACACCACAAGTGCTCAAAATGTGTTCCAATCAAGACACTGTCGGACTGTTGAAATGTGAATATGCCGATGCCGCAGATAATGGCGAAAAATATTAGTACTATTTTTCGTTTCGTTGTTTTTGTCACTGTATGTTGACTTTGTATGTTAAAATAATGCCTTATATTGTTTTTGGCTATGCGATCATGCCACGGAATTTCGTAGATCATCCAATGTACCTTTGGACAAGTTTCGGTTAGGATTTTGTTCGTGATGTATCTAGGGTTATTAATATCGTTGGACATGAATAGTAAATTTCATAAATCTTGTTAAAGTAGTATACTAAAAAAATAAGTATTCCTTAATTTGTATCATCAAGTCAAAGCTTAATCGCTTCTCTTCAGCACGCCTTTTGAGTATTTAATAAAATATTAGTTAGTGAGGACGGATGATTTGAAATTGTTGAAAAGCTGCCGAAATATAATGCATCAGGGTTATAAAAAAGTGAGTCTATTTATAAAATAACAAAGATAAACTTAAGTGCTATTAAAATTAGGTACTTTATGGTTTCGTTATCAAATTAGAACATTTATTAAAAGAGACTGTATGACACTTAGTATTTACTCAGATTTTAAGAAATTGGGTAAATTTCCAGTCCAATGTTTCATTGGTCTGTTAAAGCTTTTAACTGTTGAGACTTAATTAAAAAAATGTGGAGATTCTTTTAACTGTCTTGTTCTTTTGCACAGTAACAGCATAAAATTATACTAATTACAACAATGTATTATGTCTGACGAAATATTTATTCCTTTGGCAAAAATAGGAGGATGATTTTCAATTCACAAATACAACTCATAAATGTTTTTTTTATATTATATACCGCCATTAAATGCAGTTTCAGTGAATCGGATACGTAATGGGTTTAACTGAGAATTGAATAACCGCCTCTGAGTAAAGGTAATAAGGTTTAACTAAGACTAAAATTAGTACAACTTTAGAAAATAAATATTATTTTGTGACATTCTTAGGACTAGGGTTCTACTTAAATAATGTTTTAAGAACTAAAGATGAGCAAGTATGATGATCCTATCAATTGATTATTACAAGAACTCCCATTTGCATTACTTGAATTTATGTGTCAATTCAGTTTCGTTTAGGCCTTATTATTAAATAAAATAAAACAAGTGTTCGTAGTACCAAACAAACGTGGTACTTTATCAGTTATTTGTTACAGGCAACTTTATTTGCCATACCTATATACAAAAAGTTCTGTTTATTACATTCCGTAGACAAGGAAACGCAGAAAATATACCTATCGCTGGTTGAAATCCCACTGAGAATTAACAATTGTGGGTAGTCATGAAAACTTCTTATTATACTTATATCGATAAAACGTAGATAGGGTTTTGTATATTTTCTTATTTATATAAATTTATGCCCGTTCGTCAATTTTCAGTAGATATATTCAAATTTAGGCAGTTTGACTGACATATAAACGAAAAAAAAGATAATTACTAATAGTAGGGGAGCCAAAGCGGGGATTTAGGGATTTATTCGAGCCCGGCAGATTAACAAAAGGGGAGCAATCTTGCATCTTGTGAAGTATTCCTACCATACCTAAGCCCTTTAAATAGTTCCGAACGTCCAGGGCAGCCGATCAGACAATCCCTATTTAGCATCGTGGGCTCCTCTACTATAAGGTACATACTACATTATAGATATTACAATGTTCAATTCGCCGTTACTTCGCACGTTTCCACCGTAATAGAAGAACTTTTAATAAATAATCTAGCCTAACCTAATCTAACTAAAGCTTAAGGTCATGGTCTCTTATATATTGCAACAACGTTCAAACTCTATTCTAGGAAATGCGATAAATTGTATCATTTACATCTGTATCTTCCTGTCTGCTTTTCGCTCTAATAGCAATTTGAGTTCATAAAAGACTGGACCTCTGTCTATTTTAAAATATAATATTTTTTATCGTCGGATCTCAGACTAACAGTAATTTGAAATAGGGATGATGACTGGTTTTTTCTTCGTCTGTCAAGTAGATTATGTAAAAGTATTGGACACGTGTTTGTTCTTTTATCACACAGTCAAAACATTACAGAGATATACTACCTATATAGATTGGAAATGTCGCATGACGTCACTTCTTGGTACAATTTTTACTTGGAAGTGACGTCACCCCCCGCTATCAAACTTTGACGCGCTTTATCTATGCTAGTTTTTGTTGATTGACAAGCGAAAAATTATTGTAAATTACTTTTTGAAAATGTACCTGTCGGACTAAATAGAATTTCGTTTAATTTACCCCGTCGTCATGGCTAGTCTTTATGCTAGGAACGCTAGTCTTTTATTTTAAAAACAATTTTAATGATATTAATCGAGATTCGTTTATTTTTCCTTTTAGATAATAGAAAATAAATTTTTGGTTTAACAAACCATCCACTCAAATTGCTACCATGAGCGGAACGTAAAATTAGACACTACAAAATATTTCACCTCCTAAGATACAATAACAACTTCATATTTCTGGAAAAATCTTGATCGAAATTGTTTTAAAAATTCGTTGGAACATTCTCTTCGTAATCGGTAGACAGACTACTGTTCGAATATACTGATTCAGAATATTTTATAAAAATTAATATTTCAATTTGTCATAGAGAGCAGTGTCATGTACGATACTTGGGCGGTTGCTACTTAAAAAACATGATAGATAACTATGTTTTTTCGTTAGCACAATACATAAGTTACTTTTAGTTAAACAGTAATGTTACATAATAAATAAAAAAGGCGATTCTACTTTTTCACTTCAAGAATTTAAATGAAGACTTAAACTGAAAATGTTTAGTTTATTCAGCACTTTTTAAGTAGATGAAGTTTGTTTTTTAGGCATTTAGTTAACTCGGAGCATCAGCACTTACAAATAACGACATCTTTGTTACTAATTCGAGGCACAATGAACTAAATTATTTACTTTCCCCTACAAGTACCTAGGCAATGACATTTGTAATAGTCACACGTCTTGGGCAGTATTCATTATCATTATTTGCTTTGTTTTATAATATACCAAATATATTTTAAATTTGTACACAACAGATATTTTACTTTATACACTTTTTTGTTAACAGGTAAGTTTTTGAAAAAGTTGTTCGCGTGATGGATACTTTTCAAAAAGACACGAAATACCTGCATATGTGGAACAATACAACTTCTATTATAACTTATTTATGGCCCTCGAGTCGAATACTTACTAATATTCCGGTATCGAAACAGTGTCTTTCATACGAATTTTTCGAATGACATCAATCGTGTTATCTCTGATTTGTCAAATGCTGGCACTTCTCTTGTCTACTCGTATTTGCTATTTGTAAACTTGACAACAGTCTGTCCTGATCATGCTTTAGAAGGAAGGGAAAGAACAGACAGATGTCAAGCTTACATATAACAAACACGAATAGGCAAGTGAAGTGTTGCAATAATGCGAATTATTATTAAGGTAACCATATCTATCGATGGGGTATTGTCCGGAACCAGCCGGGATACTTTCTTAGTTAGTAGGAGTAGTTTGTTCCAGTTCAATACTATAAGATATTTTAAGCTACATTTGTTTTCAGAAAAGATTTAGCTTAACTCGTTATAACACTATAAGGTGGAAGTAGGCTATTCTATCATACAACTATGTAGGCACTATTTTACAACAGCTAAAAGAAACACTGCTTTGCGTAAAGTTCAGAAGCCTTGTTAGAGATTTTAATAATAATACATAAATGTGACAAACAGGAACGTGGCTAAACTGGATTCCCATTGAATATAAGAATGAGCATGAATGACTTCACAAATCTATACCCTATCCAACAGTGGTACAGGTCATTTTGATTTGTGAAAACGTTTTACAATGGCAACCTACCCTTCCCAGTTTAACAATTCATTAACAAAAAGAAGCTTAATATCTACATGCAAAATACATAATGTTAATAAATATAAGTGTCTCGTCCATCAAATTACCGACACAGTTTACGATATTTTTGTTTTGGTGACGAAGTTTTACGTCATATACAAAATTCATGATAAGTTCTGTCATTACCTACATGAAACTTAAATATAAAAATGAGATTTTTCAATCACAACGCTACAAAATAATAAAAATAGTCTTAAAAGGCTCATATTTTAAATCCATATTCTATTGCATATAAAAATTATATAATTTACGTAGCTTGATACAAACTTTATTATGACGATGGCACGAGAAATAAATTAGCAATTTCATGTTTTAAACCAATTATTCAGTCTCTAACTAAGCAGTGTTCATTTCATGAATGAAAGCATGAATAGATACCACTCAACCATGCCACTAATATGTTAAAATCCAAAAAATAGCGAAAAATAAATGCGGTTGAGATTTATATCCGATAAACCATCAGTTTCCTTAACATTACATTTTGTATACTTAAACATAAAAGTATTTGTGCTAATGTAAGTTAGGTATAATGCAAAAATAAAAAAGACGTAATTTCATCAAGAGATCCCTTATTTAAATGCCAATAAAATAATGTGCTAAAACGTTCGACGACCTAAACTACCATTAGAAATATACATCTATAAACCCTAGTCTATGTCAAACAGGTTTCAAACTTACAATTTTACAATACGCATAGGTACTATCGTTGTTTATAACAAGCGCACTTGAACCGTGGTACGAATCCAAGTCTTCAATTCCACCTTTACCATCACTAAACTAGCAATTGAACGCGTAAAGGTACTGATAAGCTTGAGCATTCACTTGTAATGCGAATTTTGCATTACAGAAAAATAAACGAGAGCGTTTAAGCGAGCATTCCATCGAAAGTTCTGGTGAGCATTCTAGCGGAAGGACAGTAAATTTGCTTCAAGCTTTTGTTTCTGTCATTGGCTGACCGCCGTCTCCCCTTTTTTAATATAATCCATAAGTATTTAAATGTAGAACACTCGACAGTCAAGCCGGACATCTTCGTGAAGAATATTTTTGACGAGCATCAACGTTCGCTAGATAGATCATGAAAATGTTTGTAGCAATGTTTGGCTCTATGCTTGGCTCTATTCGTTGTTCAATTTGACAAATTAAAAAACGCCGAATGCTCGATGTTCTGTTACAAGAGAATGCTCAAGTTTGTCAGCACTTTCAGGCGGTTTGTACTTTGGATGCGTTTCCCTACGCATTCAATTAGGAAAGTTAACGCCACTAGCTGGCGCCATTGTGGTAGGAAGAACTATGAACGGAGAGTAACGAATGTAGTACTACGTAGTTTCGAGCTGTTAAACTGGCACAATAACTTATTTTTCGGGTAATCTTATCCAAAATATGTCGAATCTGCGCCTTTTTTGTTTAAAGGTGGTTAACGACTTATGATTGAATGGATTGAATTAAATGTTAGTTCATATAACCTATGCTTGATCTAAATAGGTAATATGAATTATGAACTAACATTCAATGAAACGAATTTTCTTTATAATCTTTTAATTGGACGTAATCATTTCGATTTTTTTTTATATAAGTAATCTATTTCAGTTCCATAAAAATAGGTTTTCCATATTATTATGTTCTTTCACCTTTTAAAGGAAACTGCGACTGGATTGATGGAACCGTTTTCAGGCATTGCTATTTACATTTGGTATTTGGTTTGGTATTGGTTCCATCAATTCAGTCAATTTTCTGAAAATAGAACTGCAAGATCGTTACTTTCTATTGATTTTCATATCGTGTGCGCGCTCCCATAGAACCTTTCAGCCTGTTGTTAAGTACGCATAGTTTTCGTACGAAAACACATCCAAAGAGTGAGTCACCCAATGCATACCAAGTTGTTTTACATCGTTAACCTTACTTCATGTCGAATATGCATTATGACAACAAATATCTGTTTATGTAAATGTTTGAACAACATAATTAGTGAAAAGGAATATATGTACTATTTTGTACATAATTATTTAAAAGTAAGTATAGAGTTATGTTTTTATTTATTTTTTAAGCATTTAACTGCTAGATGTTTAAATCTAAAGAAAAGTTTACTAGAAAAAGTCAGTGCATTCGCCCGGATTGCGAAGGATGCGGGTTCGAGTCCCGTCCGCTGCCTGGTCTGCGTGGATTTTTTTCTAGTTAACTTTTCTTTAGATTTAAGTATAGAGTTTTTCCATAAGCTGACAAGATTGAATGCAATGATTCAATAAACATAGGCCAGTAATTTTCACTTTAAAGTCGACAATGTGAAACAAATTCATGAAGCCTTATCACTAAAGTGCACTTTGTACAGATTGAATCTTATTAACTTATTTGCAAATCCATGTGATACAAACATGTAACAGATGTGAAGATTATAATTATTACTAGATAGGTAGGTTTAATAAATTTTAAATTCCATTAAAAATAACAAAATGCGTTTTATTTTTTTCCATTTCATCCTTGCGTTTAGCTTGTGCTGTATTTTTCTCGGTTGCAGTAATTCCCTATCCAAAAGGCTAGAACTTATAAATTTTGGTCACTTATTCCATGTCTATCTCCAAACCGGCCTTGCAGTTTCCTTACCGAGTACCACTTCTTGACCTTTATACTAGCGCAGGGACGACGAATCGTGATCTCTCCCTCTTACAACCTGAGACCCTTTAAAAGAGGCGCAAAGAAGCAACAGGCAGGTCGGCAGGGTGAGGGTGGCTGGCGTGGCAGGTAGAACTGCTGTATCAGCTATCTTCGCGTTTGGACTATACCGTCACTTAACATCAGGTGGAATGGAGTCATTTGTCGACCCTATCTATAGATTTTTGGTTCTAGTTTCATCCTTTGTGGCGCTGCTGTTGCAAGTTTCCATACAAAATTTGATAATGACAATTGGCACTCGCTAACTTATAATATTTGCATTAAGGCATGTGACGTAATAAATAAGAATGAGCTTAGTTTGTTAGGAAGGGTGCATGTTAACGAGGCTATTTCTACTACCCGGGTAGTATGCGCGTTTCAAAACAGTGCCTAGACCCAGCGAAAAACCGGCGGTCGTCAACAAGCGCCCTTACGCTTCGTCTATATTTATGAAGTCCAACTCTTTTTAACTAAAATCCAAAAAAATATATACGGCGATTCTCTATCGTGGGAGAGATCGGTAAAATCGATTATAAATTACTAATCATTTTACTGTGTGAAATTGTACTTTTTGAAAAAATCAGTCAATGTATAACTGATGTACTATAAGAGAGTAGGACCCTCTATGTGGGCGGTGGTCCCCCCCAACTAACACCTGCCAGGATGTATTCCCTATTCATGCTTATTGTGGGGATAGGATTGGTAAATAAAATAACTGAATGAAACAATTTATTGTTTTAAACTTTTAATAAATAAAACTCGCAATATTGCATTGTAATTTTAGTGATGTGTGTATATTTTTCATAACATAAATTTTATTGTAAATATAAAACATAATATATTTAATTCACATGAACTTGATTAAGTAAAGCATCAAAGTATGAAAAATTTTGGTGGCGTACTTAAGAAGCAAGTTAGCTTTCAAATAAAATCGTAGGCTTTGTAAAGTTTTCAAAATATATTATTAAATTTATTTTATGACAACTTAGGCGTTCATTAATTCTTAACATATGACGAGACTTAAACAACGATTTTAACCCCTACATACACCACAAGTGCTCAAAATGTGTTCCAATCAAGACACTGTCGGACTGTTGAAATGTGAATATGCCGATGCCGCAGATAATGGCGAAAAATATTAGTACTATTTTTCGTTTCGTTGTTTTTGTCACTGTATGTTGACTTTGTATGTTAAAATAATGCCTTATATTGTTTTTGGCTATGCGATCATGCCACGGAATTTCGTAGATCATCCAATGTACCTTTGGACAAGTTTCGGTTAGGATTTTGTTCGTGATGTATCTAGGGTTATTAATATCGTTGGACATGAATAGTAAACTTCATAAATCTTGTTAAAGTAGTATACTAAAAAAATAAGTATTCCTTAATTTGTATCATCAAGTCAAAGCTTAATCGCTTCTCTTCAGCACGCCTTTTGAGTATTTGATAAAATATTAGTTAGTGAGGACGGATGATTTGAAATTGTTGAAAAGCTGCCGAAATATAATGCATCAGGGTTATAAAAAAGTGAGTCTATTTATAAAATAACAAAGATAAACTTAAGTGCTATTAAAATTAGGTACTTTATGGTTTCGTTATCAAATTAGAACATTTATTAAAAGAGACTGTATGACACTTAGTATTTACTCAGATTTTAAGAAATTGGGTAAATTTCCAGTCCAATGTTTCATTGGTCTGTTAAAGCTTTTAACTGTTGAGACTTAATTAAAAAAATGTGGAGATTCTTTTAACTGTCTTGTTCTTTTGCACAGTAACAGCATAAAATTATACTAATTACAACAATGTATTATGTCTGACGAAATATTTATTCCTTTGGCAAAAATAGGAGGATGATTTTCAATTCACAAATACAACTCATAAATGTTTTTTTATATTATATACCGCCATTAAATGCAGTTTCAGTGAATCGGATACGTAATGGGTTTAACTGAGAATTGAATAACCGCCTCTGAGTAAAGGTAATAAGGTTTAACTAAGACTAAAATTAGTACAACTTTAGAAAATAAATATTATTTTGTGACATTCTTAGGACTAGGGTTCTACTTAAATAATGTTTTAAGAACTAAAGATGAGCAAGTATGATGATCCTATCAATTGATTATTACAAGAACTCCCATTTGCATTACTTGAATTTATGTGTCAATTCATTTTCGTTTAGGCCTTATTATTAAATAAAATAAAACAAGTGTTCGTAGTACCAAACAAACGTGGTACTTTATCAGTTATTTGTTACAGGCAACTTTATTTGCCATACCTATATACAAAAAGTTCTGTTTATTACATTCCGTAGACAAGGAAACGCAGAAAATATACCTATCGCTGGTTGAAATCCCACTGAGAATTAACAATTGTGGGTAGTCATGAAAAACTTCTTATTATACTTATATCGATAAAACGTAGATAGGGTTTTGTATGTTTTCTTATTTATATAAATTTATGCCCGTTCGTAAATTTTCAGTAGATATATTCAAATTTAGGCAGTTTGACTGACATATTCACGAAAAAAAAGATAATCACTAATAGTAGGGGAGCCAAAGGGATTTATTCGAGCCCGGCAGATTAACAAAAGGGGAGCAATCTTGCATCTTGTGAAGTATTCCTACCATACCTAAGCCCTTTAAATAGTTCCGAACGTCCAGGGCAGCCGATCAGACAATCCCTATTTAGCATCGTGGGCTCCTCTACTATAAGGTACATACTACATTATAGATATTACAATGTTCAATTCGCCGTTACTTCGCACGTTTCCACCGTAATAGAAGAACTTTTAATAAATAATCTAGCCTAACCTAATCTAACTAAAGCTTAATGTCATGGTCTCTTATATATTGCAACAACATTCAAACTCTATTCTAGGAAATGCGATAAATTGTATCATTTACATCTGTATCATCCTGTCTGCTTTTCGCTCTAATAGCAATTTGAGTTCATAAAAGACTGGACCTCTGTCTATTTTAAAATATAATATTTTTTATCGTCGGATCTCAGACTAACAGTAATTTGAAATAGGGATGATGACTGGTTTTTTCTTCGTCTGTCAAGTAGATTATGTAAAAGTATTGGACACGTGTTTGTTCTTTTATCACACAGTCAAAACATTACAGAGATATACTACCTATATAGATTGGAAATGTCGCATGACGTCACTTCTTGGTACAATTTTTACTTGGAAGTGACGTCACCCCCCGCTATCAAACTTTGACGCGCTTTATCTTTGCTAGTTTTTGTTGATTGACAAGCGAAAAATTATTGTAAATTACTTTTTGAAAATGTACCTGACGGACTAAATAGAATTTCGTTTAATTTACCCCGTCGTCATGGCTAGTCTTTATGCTAGGAACGCTAGTCTTTTATTTTAAAAACAATTTTAATGATTATTAATTGAGATTCGATTATTTGTCCTATTAGATAATAGAAAATAAATTTTTGGTTTAACAAACCATCCACTCAAATTGCTACCACGAGCGGAACGTAAAATGAGACACTACAAAATATTTCACCTCCTTAGATACAATAACAACTTCATATTTCTGGAAAAATCTTGATCGAAATTGTTTTAAAAATTCGTTGGAACATTCTCTTCGTAATCGGCAGACAGACTACTGTTCGAATATACTGACTCAGAACATATTATACAAATTAATATTTCAATTTGTCATAGAGAGCAGTGTCATGTACGATACTTGGGCGGTTGCTACTTAAAAAACATGATAGATAACTATGTTTTTTCGTTAGCACAATATATAAGTTACTTTTAGTTAAACAGTAATGTTACATAATAAATAAAAAAGGCGATTCTACTTTTTCACTTCAAGAATTTAAATGAAGACTTAAACTGAAAATGTTTAGTTTATTCACCACTTTTTAAGTAGAAGAAGTTTGTTTTTTAGGCATTTAGTTAACTCGGAGCATCAGCACTTACAAATAACGACATCTTTGTTACTAATTCGAGGCACAATGAACTAAATTATTTACTTTCCCCTACAAGTACCTAGGCAATGACATTTGTAATAGTCATACGTCTTGGGCAGTATTCATTATCATTATTTGCTTTGTTTTATAATATACCAAATATATTTTAAATTTGTACACAACAGATATTTTACTTTATACACTTTTTTGTTAACAGGTAAGTTTTTGAAAAAGTTGTTCGCGTGATGGATACTTTTCAAAAAGACACGAAATACCTACTATATAATATATATGTGGAACAATACAACTTCTATTATAACTTATTTATGCCCTCGAGTCGAATACTTACTAATATTCCGGTATCGAAACAGTGTCTTTCATACGAATTTTTCGAATGACATCAATCGTGTTATCTCTGATTTGTCAAATGCTGGCACTTCTCTTGTCTACTCGTATTTGCTATTTGTAAACTTGACAACAGTCTGTCCTGATCATTCTTTAGAAGGAAGGGAAAGAACAGACAGATGTCAAGCTTACAAATAACAAACACGAATAGGCAAGTGAAGTGTTGCAAAAATGCGAATTATTATTAAGGTAACCATATCTATCGATGGGGTATTGTCCGGAACCAGCCGGGATACTTTCTTAGTTAGTAGGAGTAGTTTGTTCCAGTTCAATACTATAAGATATTTTAAGCTACATTTGTTTTCAGAAAAGATTTAGCTTAACTCGTTATAACACTATAAGGTGGAAGTAGGCTATTCTATCATACAACTATGTAGGCACTATTTTACAACAGCTAAAAGAAACACTGCTTTGCGTAAAGTTCAGAAGCCTTGTTAGAGATTTTAATAATAATACATAAATGTGACAAACAGGAACGTGGCTAAACTGGATTCCCATTGAACATAAGAATGAGCATGAATGACTTCACAAATCTATACCCTATCCAACGGTGGTACGGGTCATTTTGATTTGTGAAAACGTTTTACAATGGCAACCTACCCTTCCCAGTTTAACAATTCATTAACAAAAAGAAGCTTAATATCTACATGCAAAATACATAATGTTAATAAATATAAGTGTCTCGTCCATCAAATTACCGACACAGTTTACGATATTTTTGTTTTGGTGACGAAGTTTTACATCATATACAAAATTCATGATAAGTTCTGTCATTACCTACATGAAACTTAAATATAAAAATGAGATTTTTCAATCACAACGCTACAAAATAATAAAAATAGTCTTAAAAGGCTCATATTTTAAATCCATATTCTATTGCATATAAAAATTATATAATTTACGTAGCTTGATACAAATTTTATTATGACGATGGCACGAGAAATAAATTAGCAATTTCATGTTTTAAACCAATTATTCAGTCTCTAACTAAGCAGTGTTCATTTCATGAATGAAAGCATGAATAGATACCACTCAACCATGCCACTAATATGTTAAAATCCAAAAAATAGCGAAAAATAAATGCGGTTGAGATTTATATCCGATAAACCATCAGTTTCCTTAACATTACATTTTGTATACTTAAACATAAAAGTATTTGTGCTAATGTAAGTTAGGTATAATGCAAAAATAAAAAAGACGTAATTTCATCAAGAGATCCCTTATTTAAATGCCAATAAAATAATGTGCTAAAACGTTCGACGACCTAAACTATCATTAGAAATATACATCTATAAACCCTAGTCTATGTCAAACAGGTTTCAAACTTACAATTTTACAATACGCATAGGTACTATCGTTGTTTATAACAAGCGCACTTGAACCGTGGTACGAATCCAAGTCTTCAATTCCACCTTTACCATCACTAAACTAGCAATTGAACGCGTAAAGGTACTGATAAGCTTGAGCATTCACTTGTAATGCGAATTTTGCATTACAGAAAAATAAACGAGAGCGTTTTAGCGAGCATTCCATCGAAAGTTCTGGTGAGCATTATAGCGGAAGGACAGTAAATTTGCTTCAAGCTTTTTGCCGAGCAGAGGTTCTGTCATTGGATGACCGCCGTCTCCCCTTTTTTAATATAACCCATAACTATGTAAATGTAGAACACTCGACAGTCAAGTCAAGAATATTTTTGACGAGCATCAATGTTCGCTAGAAAGATCATGAAAATGTTCGTAGCAATGTTTGGCTCTATGCTTGGCTCAGGGGGCCATTCGCCTATCGGGATTGCTTTGGAAAACGCTATCGCTTACGTTTTCATTTTGTTATTTCTAGTCGCCTGAGGTTTTCAAATGTCTCGCGCTCTTTTTTTTTCTTTTGCATTGGTAATAACAATATTAAAGAAAATGAGCTTGAGATATTTGAATACCTTCGGCGGTCAGAAATAACAAAATGAAATCGTAAGCGATAGCGTTTTCCAAAGCAATCCCGTTAGGCGAATGGCCCCCTGTTCGTTGTTAAATTTGACAAATTAATAAACGCCGAATGCTCGATGTTCTGTTACAATAGAATGCTCAACTTTTTCAGCACTTTTAGGCAGTTTCTACTTTGGATGCGTTTCCCTACGCATTCAACTAGGAAAATAAACGGCACTAGCTGGCGCCACTGTGGTAGGAAGAACTATGAACGGAGAGTAACGAATGTAGTATTACGTAGTTTCTCGCTGTTAAACTGGCACAATTACTTATATTTCGGGTAATCTTATCCAAAATATGTCGAATCTGCGCCTTTTTTGTTTAAAGGTGGTTAACGACTTATGATTGAATGGATTGCATTAAATGTTAGTTCATATAACCTATGCTTCATCTAAATAGGTAATATGAATTATGAACTAACATTCAATGAAACGAATTTTCTTTATAATCTTTTAATTGGACGTAATCATTTCGATTTTTTTTATATAAGTAATCTTTTTCAGTTCCATAAAAATAGTTTTTCCATATTATTATGTTCTTTCACCTTTTAAAGGAAACTGCGACTGGATTGATGGGACCGTTTTCAGGTATTGCTATTTACATTTGGTTTGGTATTGGTTCCATCAATTCAGTCTCAATTTTCTGAAAATAGAACTGCAAGATCGTTACTTTCTATTAATTTTCATATCGTGTGCGCGCTCCCATAGAACCTTTAAGCCCGTTGTTAAGTACGCATAGTTTTCGTACGAAAACACATCCAAAGAGTGAGTCACCCAATGCATACCAAGTTGCTTTACATCGTTAACCTTACTTCATGTCGAATATGCATTATGACAACAAATATCTGTTTATGTAAATGTTTGAACAACATAATTAGTGAAAAGGAATATATGTACTATTTTGTACATAATTATTTAAAAGTAAGTATAGAGTTATGTTTTTATTTATTTTTTAAGCATTTAACTGCTAGATGTTTAAATCTAAAGAAAAGTTTACTAGAAAAAGTCAGTGCATTCGCCCGGATTGCGAAGGATGCGGGTTCGAGTCCCGTCCGCTGCCTGGTCTGCGTGGATTTTTTTCTAGTTAACTTTTCTTTAGATTTAAGTATAGAGTTTTTCCATAAGCTGACAAGATTGAATGCAATGGTTCAATAAACATAGGCCAGTAATTTTCGCTTTAAAGTCGACAATGTGAAACAAATTCATGAAGCCTTATCACTAAAGTGCACTTTGTACAGATTGAATCTTATTAGCTTATTAGCCATATCTAGCCGTCAGAATTCATTTCTTATAATTATATTATTTATATCAGAATCATAATCTATAATTTCAATTTAGTTTTTAGATTTTGAAAATAGGCGCTATTTCATTTTGTATATAGTATAAGGCTTAATGCATAGACTACGAAGCGACGATTCACCACGTTTCTAAATAACTAATAGAAAGTTATCTTCACACACATACAATTACAGCGAATAATTGTTTCAATGGACGCTATCAAACCTACATGGTACTAGGTATATCACAAATATTTAAGCGTCGAGATAAGTAGCGATTGACGACCTTATTACTGGAAGCTTAGTTCCAATTTTCAGTATAGTTTCTATTTAAAAAATTGCTTGCCCAAAGGCAATTTCTAGTTTTAAATATCTCCCGAAAAACAATAATTAATTGCATTGTAGTGTGCACCTATAACGGCGGTGGAATTTCTTGTTAATTTTGACATAAACCACATAGAAAGTTACTTATTCAACAGCAAGGTTCGAAATACATGTCTAAATTAAATTTAGGCCTTATTTTGCTTCATGGAGTCAAGGTCAAGAAAAGCTGCACTAATCAAACCTAGGATAGACTTTATTAATATTAATGTTTTGTCGTAATTAACCTTCAATGCCCTAATATTCGCAAGTTTTTACAACCGCAGCACAATTGAGACAAGTTATGCTATTTGTATTGAAGAGATATTTTGGTCTCGATATTAAGCTTTATAGGTCAGTTCTGTATCAATTCAGCTGTAGTATTCAAAAGTTAAAAAGTGTGTATATTTTAGACAGCGTTCGTTTCTGAACCTTATGACAGCAACACATTTGACTCTGTTCGAATGATGGATTACTAACCATCGTGATAAGAACTATTATGAAATCAATAACAGTGTAGTCTCGTGATAATAAAAACACCTACTACTACTAAAGCTGTACTGAAAATCGCACGAATTTGAACTTTATGGCTTTGAAGCTGGGATATGCAAAGAATAATCTTTGCATATCCCAGCAATTTTGCAATTTAATCTAACATAAGTTAGCTCGCTGAGGCGCAGTCTACAGATCACGCGATTTTAGACCTTGTTCGCTGAGTGAATGTTTAGACGGAAGTGCCAAACTAGCGATGAAGTATCTCCCAAACTTCGAAAGAGTTAGTTCACTGAGATGTAGTCGTCAGTTGGCGCGCGACTTTAGACCTTGTTAACTTGTGTTATAGTTCAGACGGAGGTACCGATGGGCCAGCCTAGTGATGAGGTACTCTCTCGTGTCGAACTAGATGCGCTAAGAACGTGTTAGCTTACTGTGAAATAGTAGGACCTTGCGATGAAGTATATTCGAATGAGATATACATAGAACGCGTTAACTCACTGAGGTGCATTCGTCAGTAGGCGTGACATTTAGGCCCTTGTTCGCAGGAGTTAAGGTTCAGACGGAAGCACTAATCTAGCGATGAAGCATCTTCCAAGCTTCAACGATGTTATTTCACTGAGATGTAGTCGTCAGTATTTTGGACCAAGCGATGAAGTACCTTTCAAAATTCGAACGAGATATGCAAAGAACGTGTTAGTTCACTGAGGCGCAGGCGTAAGTTGCCGCGCGATTTTGGAGCTTGTTCACTCGGGTTAAGGTTCAGACGGATGTACCGACGTGAGCCGGCCTAGCGATGAGGTATGCTCCATAGTTTCGAACAAGAGACGCTGTGAACGTGATAGCATACTGCAATATATAGTAGTCAGTTGACGCGCGATTTTGAACCTTGATCAGTTAGTTTAAGGTTCAGACGGAGGTACCGACGCAGGGTCGGCCTAGTAATGAGTTACCTCCCTAGCTTCGAACGAGACACGCTAAGAACGTGTGTTTGGTGGGATATAGTTATCGGTTGGACCTAGCGATCGAGTATCTTCCAAGCTTCGAACGAGATTATGCTAAGAACGTGTTAGCTCACTGAGGTGTAGTCGTTAGTAGACGCGCGATTTTGGACCTTGCTCACTCGGGTTAATATTCAGACGGGTTTCTAGATTCAAACGAGATACGCAAATAACATGTTAGCTAACTACGATATAGTCTTCGGATGGCGCGCGATTTTAAACCTAGTGATGAAGTATCTTCCAAGAAGACTCACTGAGATGCAGTCGTCAGGAAGCGCGCGATTTTGGACCTTACTCACTTGGGTTAAGATTCAGACGGGTCCCTAGTTGCAAACGAGATACGCAAAGAAAGTGTTAGCTTACTGCGATATAGTCTTCGGATGGAGCGCGATTTTAAACCTAGTTATGAAGTATCTTCCAAGGAGACTCACTGAGGTGCAGTCGTCAGTAGGCGCGCGAATTTGGACCATGCTCACTTAGGTTAGGATTCAGACGGGTCTCTAGCTTCAAACGAGATACGCAAAGAACGTGTTAGCTTACTAAGATATAGTCTTCGGATATAGCGCTTTTTTAAACCTAGCGATGAAGTATCTTCCAAGAAGACTCACTGAGATGCTGTCGTTAGTAGGCGCGCGATTTTGGACCTTGCTCACTCGGGTTAAGATTCAGACGGAGGTACCGACGTGGCGGTCTGCATCGAGGGTCACGTCCTCGGGACTGGCGAGGTCGGCGCGCAGTCTAACTCCGCGCCCGGTCAGGGTCCAACGGCAAGCTGCTCGCTCCGTGCTTGGAGATACCCTGCAAGTTAATATCGGACTGTTAATGTGAATTTGACGACCTCCGTGGCAGGGTTTGTACGCCGAGTTTCAAGGTGTCGCCTACTCCAGAGGTCCCGGGTTCGAATCCCGATGGGGGCGATGGGATAAGTTGACGTCACACAGTAGACGTCATCGAACCGAGCCTTTTGGCGGTAAATTCAAAACCATTAAAAATAAATTCAACTTTAATTGGTTTAATGGAGAAAAAAAGACAATAAATAATTTATTTTTACTTTTCTGTTAAATCGTTTGTCCCAATCTTTAAATATAAGCAGTTTTCAAAATTTTGGAAAATACCCTATTAAGTACGCCCATTCAGCTCTGCACATACAATCTCTTTTAGTCTCTACGCACGCTCGTGCCCGAGCGCTAGAGCTCTATGACGTCACAGCCACCACGCGGCCAGCCGAAAATTCGTTTAGTAATTTTAATATGGTCATAACTTCGTCAATATTTGTCGTAGAACAAAAATTTATCCACTGTATTTTATGGATATAAATTACGTTAGCTCTATAAATCTGCATTCTCAACTAAATCAGATGCTCCTCATTTGATTAAATTGGTTAAGTGGTTTAGGAGTCCATCCCGGACAAACAACGTGACAGGTCATTTATATATATTAGGATTAGATAGGATGACGCGAAGCTCGTATACTGTAAGGTACCTACCTGCAGAGGCTTTCTTCTTGTGGCACATGCTCTATGTCTGTGGGTGAGTCCTCGCTCGCAGAGGAACTGGTGCCTTCTTCACTAGCCCCTCCCCGGTATCGCACCACACATTCTTCAATCACAAATAAATTTTAAGTATATTTGTTTCTTAGGTTTTCACGCACATCACTCATTAAATAAAACTAGTTTTTACAGATTCAATTTTTTTTAAATCCTTCAATGAAATATCCGAACGCTCAATAAAAGTCTTTCGAAGGTAGCTCGACAAAGTAAATAAAAAATCATTATTCTGACGACGCATTCCTACAAAGGATGCGAAACGTCAATAAATAAATAAATTTAGTACATCTAACCCGTAAAAACTAGTTTGATTAAAATTTTAAGTATATCTATGTAAACTACTTAAGTATGTTATAACAATTATATTTATGAGTTATCGATTTCAAGTTTTAATTTTATACATCTACTAGAGATCCCTTGCGGTTTGACCCACGTTAATATGAGGAAAATGATTATGGTGAGTCAAACTTAAACGATGGAAAAATGCTGTTACGGACTTTTTTTGTACTTTTGAAGACACGACTTTAACCGTTTACATAACTGAAGCTCTCAAATGGATATTTTTTTCCGGTTTTTGCAACATTTTTCATCAATTTTCCGCTCCAATTAGTCATGGTGTTGTGTTATATTGCCTTCCTCTATGCCTTACACAATCAACAAAAACATATCAACATTTAACAAAATCTTCCACACAAAACTTTGTTTCACTACACATATTTGTTTGCCCTGGTCGAGGGACAGGGCATTGTTTATTTTTTTTAAGATTCTCCCGTTTAAGGGAAGGCAAGGGGAACAATGCCCATAATTCACGTTCCAATTAAGCATCAGCATGATTCGGCATTGTGCGCCACTGAGTCGCATTATGTACCCTTAGCACGAACCAATATCGAATTTGTAACTTTTGCAAGTCCGAAATTTCATTGTCAAATGTGTACTGATTTGTCTGATTTTTAGTTCTCATTACGTACTTTGTGCCGCTGCTGTTCAAGTTTCCATACAAAATTTATTTATTGGAAAACTACCTTTGTGTACGATAGCCACATGAGCAGTAGATGGCGCGTGTAGAGAAACACGTTTCAGAAACAAAGTCTTGTGTACGTGTCCGTGTTGACATTTTTCAAAATCTTTTGCTGGGGACCCGGCTTAATAGAAAAATATTATGTCAAATCGGACTAGTAATTCCTGAGATAAGCGCGTGCAACCAAACTAACAATCAAACAAAGTTTTCGCATTTATAATGTTAAGTTCTACTTAACTACGTCCTACTATTTCAATTTGTGTATGTGAATGTTACCTCTCCTGTCGTCGCAATCTGGCGCGTCTTCGAGAGTTTTCAATATCTCAGCACACAGCTCCGAGTCTAAAGGCACAGGGTTGTCGGATTCCCTGTTGTTAACAAAATACAAATATTAAAAGCATCTATTGATTGATTACGGAATTGGGATAATTTATAAGATAAAGCAGTAAGAAATATGAATTGTCGCATTTATTGTTTTTTTTAAATAAGTTATTGTGTAGTTTTCCATAATAGAGTATTTATTATATCCATTTACGAAAAAGTCTTAGTTAAATTCTATAGTGCTAAAATGCCACAACGAAACAAGGCAACAAACAAGGAATCGAAAGCAAAGAAAAGCCTTTCTTATTTTGTAATGTACGGTCACCAAGTTCCATTCCAGTACAGTGTTGAATCCAAAGACGTGTTATGCCTGCACTTCACTTGGTAATTCGTTCATTGACAGCAGTCTCTGCTTTTCATTTTCTATAGTGCGATAAGAACAATCCGCTGTCAAAATGACATATAGCAAACAAGAAAGCACATTTTTTGAGAAAAAAGCAACCGATTTTTCATAATATTTATTTATTAAGACTGTGAGAAAAAAACATTAATCAGAATTTAGCTCTTCAATTCCGCTTATCTCTGCATTACCACTAGAGTAGTTGTGAATAATCATGCACTATTACTAGATCACATACGAACATGCATTCTTTATGTAACCGAAAGTTTTAAATCGACTTTCTGAACGCAACTTAAAGTGAAATTTGGTTGACGATTTAGGTTATCAACCATTCATAGCCAAAGCTCAATAAATGAAAAAAAAAATATCAACCAATATTATTTATCAATATTTGTTATTGTTTGTTCCATGAAATTTTTGCAAACCGTACTTTTCAAGCAACATCTGACAGATGGAGGTCATTGGCTTTCCTATTCTTATTTGAATCGCACTTTACTGTCTCTGTTACACGCGTTTGACTAGAATAGTGCCGACCTTGGCAATCTGTTACTGTTTTTAATCATTCCTTCTGTGTAAACATTATTCTATGGTACACAAATACGCACCTGTTGTGCAGCACTAGCGCCACACATGCGGGCTAGGGCACGGGCGGCTGCAGCGCCTCGCGCGGGTTGAACGCGCCCAGCTCCAGGACCGGAGCGGGCCCGCGCGGTGCTCCCAGTGCCGCCCCATTCCCCCACATACCTGCGTATGACACACACACGCACCTGTTGTGCAGCACTAGCGCCACACAGGCGCTCCCAGCTCCAGGACCGGAGCGGGCACGCGAGGTGCTCCCAGTGCCGCCCCATTCCCCCACATACCTGCGTATGACACACACACGCACCTGTTATGCAGCACTAGCGCCACACAGGCGCTCCCAGCTCCAGGACCGGAGCCGGCCCGCGCGGTGCTCCCAGTGCCGCCCCATTCCCCCACATACCTGCGTATGACACACACACGCACCTGTTGTGCAGCACTAGCGCCACACACGCGGGCACGGGCACGGGCGGCTGCAGCGCCGCGCGCGGGTTGAACGCGCCAAGCTCCAGGACCGGAGCGGGCACGCGAGGAGCGGGAGTTCCGCCCCATTCGCCCCACATACCTAAGTATAACAAGTAGTAGTTTTATTACCTAATTTAGAATGAAAAAATATGCTATATAGTAAAAAATATCATCATCAAAATATCAAAAGTTTTGCTTGTGTCCAACACGAGTTTAAGAAAAAAATTACATTTAAAATTTGTCTAAACAAGGTTTGAAACAGTATCTAGCCTTTTCGTAGTAAAACTGTATACATATTTACGTCGTTTACGTGACACCGAGGAACTCGATCGACGTATTCAGTACGCGATTGCGCTCGTGGAAATTAAGCAACTTTTTGTTAAACCGGTCATCGGATGGGTGGCCAAAAACTTTTTATCTCGGGTTCTTCCATTGTTTGAAAGGCCGTGTCGGGGCGGCAGTCGTCCCACTGGCAAGCACGTCGGGTGGGTCATGGGGGCGGGGGCAGGTGTCGCCCCCCTATCTGCGCTAACATGTAGTGTGTGTGTGTATATATACCAGTGTCGGGTCGCCAGTCGTCCCGCTCGGCTAGCACGTCGGGCGGGTCGTGGGGGCGGGGGCAGGTGTCGCCCCCCTCTAGCCCCCCACAATCTGCGCTAACATGTAGTGTGTGTGTATATACCAGTGTCGGGTCGCCAGTCGTCCCGCTCGGCTAGCACGTCGGGCGGGTCGTGGGGGCGGGGGCAGGTGTCGCCCCCCTCTAGCCCCACACAATCTGCGCTAACATGTAGTGTGTGTGTATATACCAGTGTCGGGTCGCCAGTCGTCCCGCTCGGCTAGCAAGGCGGGCGGGTCGTGGGGGCGGGGGCAGGTGTCGCCCCCCTCTAGCCCCCCACAATCTGCGCTAAGATGTAGTGTGTGTGTATATACCACTGTCGGGTCGCCAGTCGTCCCGCTCGGCTAGCACGTCGGGCGGGTCGTGGGGGCGGGGGCAGGTGTCGCCCCCCTCTAGCCCCCCACAATCTGCGCTAAGATGTAGTGTGTGTGTATATACCAGTGTCGGGTCGCCAGTCGTCCCGCTCGGCTAGCACGTCGGGCGGGTCGTGGGGGCGGGGGCAGCGCGCCGCCCACACTCGCGCCCCCTCGCCCGCCTCTAGCGCCACGCGGGCCTCGCCTTCTTCTAGCGCCACTAGAATCTCCGCGTCGAACACCTGTACATTGTAGAAACAATCTTAATAAATAAAAATGGGTGCGTATACTTATGTAGGCGCGTGAGAAGTTATCCTTCTTTGGCATCGTTTAAAATTAGTTTTTAATTGCATGCAAATAATTAATTACAATAAATTAATAAAAAGTCTATAAATAATCAAAATATTCAATTAAAATCGCTACTGAATATAATTTATTAGAACATATGTGATTTGCACTTGTATGAAACTCAAACACGTATTCCGAATATACAAACTAGAAATATGTGGATAAATATTATAAATATGAATACCTATAACTGTTACTTTATTACAAAAAATAAAGATTTTTGGTTCTACTACACCAATGTTCAAGAGATGGCGCTGTAGTCCCCTGAATCGCGCTTTGGTTCCGTTGTTCCAGATTAATAAATACTTTTGATATTATAAATATGAATACCTATAACTGTTACTTTATTACAAAAAATGAAGATGTGGTTTTTGGTTCTACTACACCAATGGTCAAGAGATGGCGTTGTAGTCTCCTGAATCGCGCTTTGGTTCCGTTGTTCCAGATTAATAAATACTTTTGATAGGTCTTCACAATGCAGTCGTTAGCACCCACTAAATATAGATTCTGTTTCTATTTTGTTGGTAGATTTTCTTAGTGTGCGGTAAACACAAAATTTTGTGTTATAGTGATGCGCGCGCATCTTAAAATTTCACTCTCATCATTTTTTCATAACGCGCCTAAAGAAGTGTAACTTCAATAATCTTAAAAAATATTGAATTTTAGCAAAATACCTCTGACAACGGTATGAGTTAAAAAATTATAATACGAATACTATTGTAAATTTGCCACGTCTTATGAAGATAAGCTATATATTGTTCATTAAGATTTAACAACACGCCTTCTCCTCTGTCACAATCATAACATACTTGGGTTATTTTGCTCTAAAAGTCGCCACCACTCGTCCCTGCGGCCCGCGCCCATCAACATCCAGCCACCCGCCCCTGGCCCCGCCCCTGTACACATACCTCCACCAGCATGTTAGCGGCGAGCGCGTGCCAGTCAGCGGGCTCGAGGCCGCGCGCCGCCCACCACTCGTCGCTGCGGCCCGCGCCCATCAACACCCAGCCACCCGCCCCCGGCCCCGCCCCTGTACACATACCTCCACCAGCATGTTGGCGGCGAGCGCGTGCCAGTCGGCGGGCTCGTGGCCGCGCGCCGCCCACTACTCGTCGCTGCGGCCCGCGCCCATCAACACCCAGCCACCCGCCCCCGGCCCCGCCCCTGTACACATACCTCCACCAGCATGTTGGCGGCGAGCGCGTGCCAGTCGGCGGGCTCGAGGCCGCGCGCCGCCCACCACTCGTCGCTGCGGCCCGCGCCCATCAACACCCAGCCACCCGCCCCCGGCCCCGCCCCTGTACACATACCTCCACCAGCATGTTGGCGGCGAGCGCGTGCCAGTCGGCGGGCTCGAGGCCGCGCGCCGCCCACCACTCGTCGCTGCGGCCCGCGCCCATCAACACCCAGCCATCCGCCCCCGGCCCCGCCCCTGTACACATACCTCCACCAGCATGTTGGCAGCGAGCGCGTGCCAGTCGGCGGGCTCGAGGCCGCGCGCCGCCCACCACTCGTCGCTGCGGCCCGCGCCCATCAACACCCAGCCACCCGCCCCCGGCCCCGCCCCTGTACACATACCTCCACCAGCATGTTGGCGGCGAGCGCGTGCCAGTCGGCGGGCTCGAGGCCGCGCGCCGCCCACCACTCGTCGCTGCGGCCCGCGCCCATCAACACCCAGCCACCCGCCCCCGGCCCCGCCCCTGTACACATACCTCCACCAGCATGTTGGCGGCGAGCGCGTGCCAGTCGGCGGGCTCGAGGCCGCGCGCCGCCCACCACTCGTCGCTGCGGCCCGCGCCCATCAACACCCAGCCATCCGCCCCCGGCCCCGCCCCTGTACACATACCTCCACCAGCATGTTGGCGGCGAGCGCGTGCCAGTCGGCGGGCTCGAGGCCGCGCGCCGCCCACCACTCGTCGCTGCGGCCCGCGCCCATCAACACCCAGCCATCCGCCCCCGGCCCCGCCCCTGTACACATACCTCCACCAGCATGTTGGCGGCGAGCGCGTGCCAGTCGGCGGGCTCGAGGCCGCGCGCCGCCCACCACTCGTCGCTGCGGCCCGCGCCCATCAACACCCAGCCACCCGCCCCCGGCCCCGCCCCTGTACACATACCTCCACCAGCATGTTGGCGGCGAGTGCGTGCCAGTCGGCGGGCTCGAGGCCGCGCGCCGCCCACCACTCGTCGCTGCGGCCCGCGCCCATCAACACCCAGCCACCCGCCCCCGGCCCCGCTCCCGTACACATACCTCCACCAGCATGTTGGCAGCGAGCGCGTGCCAGTCGGCGGGCTCGAGGCCGCGCGCCGCCCACCACTCGTCGCTGCGGCCCGCGCCCATCAACACCCAGCCACCCGCCCCCGGCCCCGCCCCTGTACACATACCTCCACCAGCATGTTGGCGGCGAGCGCGTGCCAGTCGGCGGGCTCGAGGCCGCGCGCCGCCCACCACTCGTCGCTGCGGCCCGCGCCCATCAACACCCAGCCACCCGCCCCCGGCCCCGCCCCTGTACACATACCTCCACCAGCATGTTGGCGGCGAGCGCGTGCCAGTCGGCGGGCTCGAGGCCGCGCGCCGCCCACCACTCGTCGCTGCGGCCCGCGCCCATCAACACCCAGCCACCCGCCCCCGGCCCCGCCCCTGTACACATACCTCCACCAGCATGTTGGCGGCGAGCGCGTGCCAGTCGGCGGGCTCGAGGCCGCGCGCCGCCCACCACTCGTCGCTGCGGCCCGCGCCCATCAACACCCAGCCACCCGCCCCCGGCCCCGCCCCTGTACACATACCTCCACCAGCATGTTGGCGGCGAGCGCGTGCCAGTCGGCGGGCTCGAGGCCGCGCGCCGCCCACCACTCGTCGCTGCGGCCCGCGCCCATCAACACCCAGCCACCCGCCCCCGGCCCCGCCCCTGTACACATACCTCCACCAGCATGTTGGCGGCGAGCGCGTGCCAGTCGGCGGGCTCGAGGCCGCGCGCCGCCCACCACTCGTCGCTGCGGCCCGCGCCCATCAACACCCAGCCACCCGCCCCCGGCCCCGCCCCTGTACACATACCTCCACCAGCATGTTGGCGGCGAGCGCGTGCCAGTCGGCGGGCTCGAGGCCGCGCGCCGCCCACCACTCGTCGCTGCGGCCCGCGCCCATCAACACCCAGCCACCCGCCCCCGGCCCCGCCCCTGTACACATACCTCCACCAGCATGTTGGCGGCGAGCGCGTGCCAGTCGGCGGGCTCGAGGCCGCGCGCCGCCCACCACTCGTCGCTGCGGCCCGCGCCCATCAACACCCAGCCACCCGCCCCCGGCCCCGCCCCTGTACACATACCTCCACCAGCATGTTGGCGGCGAGCGCGTGCCAGTCGGCGGGCTCGAGGCCGCGCGCCGCCCACCACTCGTCGCTGCGGCCCGCGCCCATCAACACCCAGCCACCCGCCCCCGGCCCCGCCCCTGTACACATACCTCCACCAGCATGTTGGCGGCGAGCGCGTGCCAGTCGGCGGGCTCGAGGCCGCGCGCCGCCCACCACTCGTCGCTGCGGCCCGCGCCCATCAACACCCGCGACACCTCAGCCGCCGCCGCTTGGACACAACGCTGTACAAAACGAAAACGTTACAACGGGATATTATTACGGGTTGCTGAAACAATTCCACTCAAACACAAAACATTTGATTATTTTCCAAAAAAAAACTGATAGAAAATAGATATAGCATTTCAATGCTAGTATCTGTTATATTACTGTACTAACAATTCTAAACAAACTAAAAACTTCAAAAAAAATTTAAAAACGCTAGATTATAAAAATACAGAAACTATATTTAAAATTATAAGATGCACACACACACACACACACGCATACACATAAACATACACACACTCACACACACAAACACACATAACAAACTCCTTTGGCTACTCCATTGAATTAATAACTTAAGAACAGTTATCTGCATTAATAAATTGTTTACTAAATGGTACACAACTTTATGAATAGGGTGGAGGGTTGATGACCCGAGACACAGGATTCATCCTAGTTCAAGTGTCAACCCACCATAATCTGATCAATACGTACCTTTCATTTTTGGTAAAAAAAATTCATGTTTTTTATATCATTGTTTTTATGTAGCCATTAATACCAACATTGTGAACATGGTGAGTAATAAAGGTTATTATTATTAAATAAAACTAGTTTTTACGGGTTAATGCACGAAACTTTATTTATTTATTGATTTATTATTATTATTAATTAGTTTCTGAAACAAAACCAACATCGATCTCTAGAGAGGAAAGGGAATCTTCAATTACCCTCACCCTCATTAATGAGGACAACGACACGACGCGAGGAGGCACAGGACATAATTATACTCACCCTCAAGTCGTGCGTAGTCATCCGCACGCGAGCTCTCGCCGTGTCGCTGAGCCCCAGCGCCAGGTCCCGTCGTCTTTGGGACACTTTCTCCCGGAGCGACATCGACAGATCGGAACATTCCTTTTCTAGCTGCTTATACGAGCCCGTCTATACAAACAAAAATTCTATTTAAATTAGAAATTAAGAAAATTTCATGAAAAAGAAAAACAGCTTTGCATGATTTTTATTCGGAGACAGCGGTTTCTTCAACAAATAAGTCTTACAAAACTACCAAGGTATACAGTAGTGTCGATTCTGGTATAATTCTCTAAGCCTAAAATAAAATTTTACAACAGTGTATCCTTGTCATTCTCTTTACAGAATGAAAAGGAGAGCCTGATGTTAAATTTAGTTTTAAGTTTAGAGGATCATGCCAGAATCGACACCAGTAATAAATTTTTAGGAATAACATTATATTCTATTATAATCCACTCACTTTGGCTATTTGCACGGAGAACGGTCCGAAGCATGCGTCCACGAAGTGAGCGTAATCCCTTAAAGGCCTCTCAATGGCGAGTTCCACTTCGGCCGCCCAAGTGGATAACACTTCTAGTTCGGCGCGAGCCACCACTGCCGCCACCGCTTGGGCACATCTGACGATAAACAGATCTATATTATATACATACATCATGATTTTATGATCTCATTGCGAAACAGATTGTATGATCACATATTTTCTCCAAATAAACCACTTCGTGTGCAGTGCTCACGTGATGTGGTAGTAGATGCGCGTGAGCAGGCCGGGCCCGTTGACGCGGCGGCAGAAGGCGGAGTCATGCGCGGGAACGCGGGCCATCACCGCCCTTTTTTTTGTGTCTGGAAAATGCTTTATGCATCCTTCAACCATGCATGCATCCTTCTCCCTGCTCATTTCATCCAGCCCTCGGCTTCGATGAAATGTGCAGGGCACTAAAAACCAGACAATACCCCTGCACCGGTCACCCAACACGCATTCAGAGGACCTTAGTCCTCCCGATGCGTGTCGAGAGGGCCATCACCGCCCTACCATTACCAGAGTGGGGCCGCGGGTGCAATGCTCACGAGATCTGGTAGTAAGCGCGCGTGTGAAGGGCGGGTTCGTTGACGCGGCGGCATAAAGGCGGAGTCATGCGCGGGAACGCGGGTCGCGCTGGCCATCACCGTCCGACCTTCATCAGAGTGGGACCAAATGTGCAGTGCTCACGTGATCTGATAGTAGGTGCGTGTGTGCAAGCCGGGCCCGTTGACGCGGCGGCAGAAGGCGGAGTCATGCGCGGGAACGCGGGCCGCACGGGCTATCACCGCCCGCCACGTGGCCCACTCCCATACGCCGCGTAAACCCCACCACGATACACCGCCTACAACAATACCATGCTTTAATACCTAGCTGTCACAAGATACAAGGCGAATCGGTAACTGAAGCATTAACACCTCAACTTTAGCCCCGGTAAATAAATGGTCCTTTGAGCACGATTTTAGTCGGCAACCTGGATTTAGACCCAAGCATATACTTGCGAGATTTAAACCCAATCAATATCATCATTAGCCTATTAAAGTTCCACCCGCAGTGGGAACAGGCCTTCCCTATCTGTCATATCAAGACACACCACGCTGTGCATATTGGTGGGCACTAAAGACTGCAGATGCAGCCGAAATATGTCATTTAAACTAGAGAGGAGTTACAACAATTTACCCATCCGATGACCGATCATCGCGAAACTTGCTTAACTTCTATGGAATAAAAGAGCTAATCACTTGCACCATCGAGTTCTCTGCTATTATACATAGTCCATAATCAAAGCAACCGGTATTTAAGGCCAAACAAGATTTACGAAATTGATATAAGTAAATTAAAAGCTTATGTGAGGTGTTATACTTACCTACAAGCAGTATGAGTGCGCATAATGGACACAGCACAACGGCCACTATTAGAGCGACTACCGGTTGTAACAGCCCCAATATTGCGATCCGCCATATTAAAACCTCGAACAGCACGAACCACCTATGAGAGAAGGTAGTCTTTATTTTTCAAAATTCTTAGTGTAGTAATAAGGTCAATAACAACACCATAATGCATTATGTTTACTTGGCAATTAACATTATAATTTTCCCAGACTTGCAACCAACGCAGTTTTCCGGAATTTGGGGGTTCACACGTGGATAAACTACTAACCTGTTGTATAAACCAGGGGCGGGGCAGTCCAGATCGTACAGCAGGGCGTTACCGGCGTGTACTGCCAGTGTGAGGACGGGCATCCATAGAGGAACCACAAAGGCACCCAGTAAAGATCCCAGACTCGTAACTAACGCCACCAACGGGAATAGAAGCAATAAGCACATGGAGCCCAGACCGCCCACTACGCCGTAGTTCCACATTCTGTTCGCTTGGCGGCTCAACCCCTTGCCCAATAAACCTATAACAATTTTTATTTTTTAAGCATCTAACTGCTATATATTTAAATGTAAAGAAAATTTTGCTAGAAAAATTCCACGCAGACCAGGCAGCAGACGGGATTCGAACCTACAATTGCTATTTTTCTTTCAAATGTTTAATACTTGTAAAGTATTCTTTGTACTGCCTGGGGGCCAATCGCCTATCGGAAATGCTTTGGGAAACGCTAACGCTTAGGATTTTATATTGTTATTTCTAGCCGCCTGAGGATTTCGAATACCTCACGCTCATTTTTTTTAATATTGTTATTACCAATGCAAAAGAAAAAGAAAGAGCGCGAGGCATTTGAATACCTGGTCTGCGTGAATTTTTTTTTAGTTAAAATATCTATAACATTTTTTTATAAATTATTGTTTTGGTTTTTAGCCGTACCACTCACTTAGGTATAAATTGAGCAGAGCTTGTACTATGGGAAGTTATTAAATTATAAAACAAACATGTGAGCCATAGGCTTAACTTAATGCTGGCACTTCACTTGGCCACGCGTTTTTGCCTTTTTGTCATGTTTGAAAAATAATCAACAAGTGTGGCTAGTTTGATCGACAATGCAAATTACATACATAGAATACAAGTAAAGCGCTGACTTCGCCCATGCAAGTGGGCCATCGAAATTATTGCCACACGGCGGAAATGCTGTCGCTGCGAAACGTGAACGCCGCGCCGCCGCGTGACCGCCGTCGCCGCGACACCAGGGCCATCGTCATCGGATCACTTTGATTCTCACATCGATCGGGTCAATAGGTTTTAAGTAATATAATAATTGTAATTTCTTTATTTCTAATTAAATTTGTTATAAGTAATTTCGGTTTTTTTTAAGACCTCCGGCTGTCCATTTCATAATTGGCGCAGTCGGTAGGATATTCGCGGTCGGTTTCGCGCTACATCCAGGAAGATTTCCGTTCGTTGCACGAGCCGCCCGAGTGGCTTTCAAGTCACGGCACGAGTATCCTGAACCTGAAGGAGCAGCCAGAGGGAAAGTATCCAGAAATCGATACGTAAGAGAGCCGAAATGTTTATGTGAGTACACTTGAATCGTTCTCGTGTTGCCTCCTGTCCTATCTTGTAAGTCCTTTTAATTTTTCACCATTTTCCACCCACGAAACTCTGGGTTGCGCGTTTCTGCTTCACATCAGCAGTCTCGCAGAAGACATTTAGTCGATAATTGTAGATTTATGGAAACTAGTTTAGATAATATTCCTGAAGTAGTAGCCATGGAATCGAACCCAGACCTAATCCATAAGGCCTTACGCCTCGTTCCTGACTTTGACGGGAACGCAAATGTCCTTACTAGGTTTATACGAATATGCGATCAAATGTGTCAAGAATTTCTGAGCGAGGATCCAAATGGTCGATTAAATAATCTTTATTTGTTACATGGAATTCTTAATAAAATTACCGGCCCCGCCGCCACTATAATAAATTCAAACGGCATCCCAGAAAGTTGGGCTGGTATACGAAATACTTTAATTAATAATTTTGCAGACCAAAGAGACGAAACAGCATTATATAATGACCTTTCCTTAGCAAGGCAAGGCAATAGCAGTCCCCAAGAATTTTACGAACAATGTCAAACATTGTTCAGTACAATAATGACATATGTTACTTTGCATGAGGATTTAGGTACCACTATTGAAGCTAAACGAACTTTATATAAGAAATTGACCATGCAGGCTTTTGTTCGAGGTTTAAAAGAACCACTTGGATCACGCATCAGGTGTATGAGGCCTGATAGCATAGAGAAAGCTCTAGAGTATGTGCAGGAAGAATTAAATATTCTTTATCAACAGCAACGCACTGATAGTTTACCTAAGCCACAATTATCATTCCGTCCACCGCCTGCAGTACCTATAGGTTTCTCAATGCCTAAACCTTATAATAATAATTTTAACAATAACTTAGCGAACCAGCCAACGCAGCGGTTTATACCGCCGCCGCCGCCAGCGCATCGTTACCCTGCTCATTCACAGCCTTTTAGAGTTAATATGTTAAATAATAATTCCCAACAGCGCATACCAACTCGCACTCAGCAAATGTTTAGTGCACCCCCGCCAAGGTACAACCCCCAGAGTAATAATTTTAGATTACCACCTAGGAATCAACCCCAGTTTTCAGCCCCACGACCTATGAGCGGAGTACAACATTTTGTACCGAAACAGTTACCCCCCCACTTTGTCGGGACACGATTGGCGTAAATACGGGAATCCGCCACCCAATAATTATTTCAAATCACGGGAAGTCAATTTAAATGAATGCGCTTACGATGATTCATATTATCAAGACTATTTCTACGACACAGACTACTATAATGACGTAAGTGACTACTGTTACTATGACTCGAACGACGACTATGACAATAGAGTTCAAATTTACGAGCCCACCACCAGTGCAGAGTCAAATGACGAGCCACAAGAGTCAAGTTCCACTTGTAATTTAGATTCGGATTTTCAGTTAAATGGCCCATCAGGCAAGTTAAAATAGAACTCAATTTGCAAAGCCAAAGACAGTTACCCTATATTCAGATAGCGGAGCCACCTTTAAAGTTATTAATAGACACAGGTGCTAATCAGTCATTTATTAGCCCGGAATGTGTAGATAAGTTTTTCTATAATGTCCCCTTAGATTACGATCCGTTTGAAGTTACCAACGTCCATGCGACTAGCCGTAATGATTACTCTATTACCCTTCCATGTTTCTCCGAATTTAAAGATCAGAACCCCATAAAATTATTTGTATACCGCTTTCATAATTACTTCGACGGCCTTATAGGTTTAGATTTACTTACGAAATTAGAAGCAAAAATAGATTTAAAGAATCAGACGTTAACTACGCAAAATGCAGTTAACCCTATACAGATGTATAACTCATGTAATGTCAACCTTTACGAGGATATTATACCGGCCCGCTCGTCTAAACTAGTTCGTATCCCAATAAACGCCCCGGATGGCGATGTTTTTGTAGAAGAGCAAATAATCTGTAACTGTGTTATCCATGAATGTGTAACGTCCGTAAAAAATAGCCGCGGAATATTAGAAATTTATAATTCGACAGATAACGACATAATATTTTCTCTAGACCGGCCAGCGCAAGCCGAGTTACTCAATATCGAGTGCACGCGCACTGCGCCGCCGCCTACGTCACGCGCGCATGACGTCTTATCGCGCCTCCGGACGGATCATATGAACGCCGAGGAAAAAGCGAATATCGAGGCATTATGTTCGCGCTACGCCGACGTATTCTATTTAGAAGGCGAGCCTTTAACTTTTACTAATAGAATTAAACATTGCATTAATACCACTGACGAAATTCCCATCTACACGAAAAGCTATCGCTACCCTTATATACATAGAAATGAAGTTCGCGATCAAATTAGTAAAATGTTAGAACAAGGGATAATAAGACCTTCCACTTCGGCGTGGAGCTCACCTATATGGGTCGTGCCAAAGAAAGCCGACGCATCGGGAAAACAGAAGTGGCGCTTAGTGGTAGACTTTCGTAAATTGAATGAAAAGACTATTGACGATAAATATCCTATCCCCAACATATCTGACATTCTTGACAAACTAGGGAAATGCATGTATTTCACTACCCTAGATCTTGCATCAGGATTTTTCCAGGTTGAGATGAATGAAGCCGATATTTCGAAAACAGCCTTCAACGTAGAGCACGGGCATTACGAATTTCTTAGAATGCCCATGGGTTTAAAGAACAGTCCTTCTACGTTCCAAAGAGTCATGGATAACGTCCTTAGAGGCCTTCAAAACGAAATCTGTATAGTTTATTTAGACGATATCGTTGTGCTAGGGACCTCATTACAGGAAGCGATTAATAACCTAGAAAAAGTATTACAGAGATTACGCGAGTCCAATTTTAAAATACAGATGGACAAGTCGGAATTTCTCAAGTTAGAAACTAACTATTTAGGCCATGTCATAACGAGGGAAGGTATAAAACCGAACCCCGACAAAATTTCCGCAATAGAAAAATATCCAATTCCAGAAACTACTAAACAGATTAAACAATTTTTAGGACTAGTTGGATATTATCGTAAATTTATCCCTGATTTTGCTCGCATAACCAAACCATTGACTCAATGTTTAAAAAAGGGTAAAAAGATAACCTTAGACTCTGACTACGTAAACGCATTTGAAAAATGCAAGACACTCCTGACTAACGACCCCATCTTACAGTATCCCGACTTCCACCGAGAGTTCTTACTGACAACAGACGCCTCGAATTTTGCTATAGGAGCTATTCTGTCTCAGGGACCTGTAGGGTCAGATAAACCGATCTCATTCGCATCACGGACTCTTAACGATAGTGAAATCAATTACAGTACCATAGAAAAGGAACTTTTAGCCATCGTTTGGGCTACAAAGTATTTTAGGCCTTATTTATTCGGTCGCAAATTTAAAATTCTTACAGATCACAAACCATTAGAATGGATGATGAGTCTGAAGGAACCGAATTCGAGATTGACTAGATGGCGCTTAAGATTGAGCGAATATGACATTACTGTAACTTATAAGAAGGGCAAAAATAACACCAACGCCGACGCCCTATCGCGAATCGAGATACATAACGAGGAGATTAGTTCCGTAATTGTTAATTGTTCAGAAAAACCACCATCATTACTATCTAATTCTGAGACTGAAACCGTACACACTAGCCACGAAAACCCAATTTTAGAAGTTCCCATAACTGATGAACCCTTAAATAAATTTCACCGCCAATTGCATATCACTATTGTTCCAGACGTAAAACGTAGAGCCGTTATTACTAAACCATTCGATACCCATACTCGCATCTCATTACAAGTATGCGAATCTAACTTAGAAAATGATATAGTTAGTGCTTTAAAAGAGTACGTAAGCCCGAAAGTTAAAACGGCCTTGATCATTAATCCACCTCTTGCCATGTATTCTATCATCCCTATCATTCAAGAAAAATTCAAGTCTTCATCTATGAATCTTATCCTAACTAAAATAGAAATAGAAAACGTTAAGGAATATCTTAGACAGCAGGAAATAATTCGTAATTACCATCACGGGAAAACGAATCATAGGGGCATAACTGAGTGCTACCTAGCTCTGTCCAAGAAATACTTTTGGCCTAAAATGAAAGAACAAATAGCTAAATTTATAGGTGAATGTACGATTTGTGGTCAAGCAAAATATGATAGGAACCCCGTGAGACAGCAGTTCAACATAGTACCTCCACCGACTAGACCTTTTGAGACTATTCATATGGATTTATTTACTGCACAGAACGAAAAATACTTGACTTTCATAGACGTATTCTCAAAATACGGTCAAGCATACCTATTGAGAGACGGGACCGCCATTAGTATTTTACAGGGTTTACTTATGTTTGCTACCCATCATGGCCTCCCCTATACCATAGTAACAAACAACGGGACCGAGTTTACTAATCAGTTATTTTCAGAGTTTATTCGATTACACAAAATTAACCACCATAGAACATTAGCTCACGCGCCGAACGATAACGGTAATATCGAGCGACTTCACTCGACATTACTCGAGCACCTTCGCATACTCAAGTTGCAACATAAGGACGAACCTGTTGTGAACTTGATGCCTTACGCAATCATTGCATATAACTCGTCTATACATACTTTTACTAAGTGCAAACCTTTTGATTTAATAACAGGGCATTTTGACCCAAGAGACCCTATTGATATCGACCCTTTGTCACATTTACTGCAGCAATACCTACAAAATCATAAAGCGCAAATGAATACGGTCTACGAACTTATTAATCAATCTTCTTTAGAAAATCGTACAGCTTTGATAGAAAATAGAAATAAGACTAGGGAACCCGAAATAGAGTATACACCTCAACAACAGATTTTCATTAAAAATCCAATGGCCAGCAGACAAAAAATCGCTCCTAGATATACACAGGACACCGTATTAGCTGATTTGCCTATCCATATCTATACCTCTAAGAAACGTGGCCCCGTGGCTAAATCAAGACTGAAACGTGTGCCCAAAAATGTTAAATTGTTACAGGATGCTGATGCTTCTGGTCCAATCAACAAGCCCACAGGAGATAAGACTTGAGACTCTCGACGACGGACCCGGACTACTACCTTTCATGTTAGGGCCGACTAAACTCATTTCACATCATCATACTTTCTTACAACGCATTCAATTAAATGACATCGAAAATAGCCTTTCTACATTGCAATTGCAAATACAGACTTTTAAAGATAGACTACCCAATGACACTTATATTTTATATGAGCTCCAAATTAACTACTTGAATAATAAAATAGAAAAGTCCTTTAAACAGTTAGCCAGTCTACAGCCAAGCCGTGCTAAGAGAGGTCTCGTAAATGCATTTGGTTCTGTAATTAAAAGCATTACCGGCAATCTGGACTATAATGACGCGCTGAAATATGATCACGTGATAAAGAACCTTTATAGTAACGAGGATAAGTTAGCATTTGAGTTAAACAATCACATAAGCTATAATAAAGAATGGATGACGAAATACTTTAGCGTTATCTCTCACATAGTAGAAAATCAAAGTCTTATAAATAACACATTACATCAATTATTAGATAAAGATTATATGCAAAATTACAGCCTTATAAAATACGCAAAGTTTGCTCAATTGCTGACCATCATTAGTGAAAATGTGGAGGACACATATAATGAACTTATTAATATAGAAAATGTATTAGCATTCGTACGTGCATCGAGCACACACCATGCAATGCTCAAGGTAGATATTTTAGGTAATATGATAGCCAGGTTAAGAAAATTATATAATAGGGAAAATATTTTAGACATAGATTTACGGGAATTTTATGAGGTAATAAAACCCGCTTTTTATTATGCAGGTAAAGAAATAGTATTAGTTTTTAGAATCCCGATAGTTGTAAAGGAAAATTATAAACTATATAGATTATCAGTAGTACCTAATAGTAATCACCAAGCCATTATCCCTTCCTATCCCTTTTTGGCAACTTGCGAGTCCGCATTCGTGTACATAGAGGCTGAATGCCCGAAGTTAAGTCACGGCTATCTCTGTCAAGAAGGAATAAATCACCAAGTCCGTACCGTACCTGACTGTATCCAGCATCTCATCTTGAACCAATCTCTGAAGAGCACCTGCAAGCTGTCATCTGTAACACTGCATAAAGAAGCAATGGAGAAACTTGACGACCAACACTACATAATCTCACTCCCGAACGAGACAAAGGCACAACTTTCCTGCGGAAGAGAAGACTACACACAACTACGAGGAAGCTATTTGGTCACCATCCCACTGAAATGCATCTTACGAACATCTGAACTCACCATCACGAACAACAACGATGAAATAAGAGGTCAACCACTCAAGATAATGAAGATTCCTGATCTGCAAGCTGAGGGCTCTACACACATCGAGCTGCACTCCATTGATCTAAGAAGTCTCTATCACGTACAAGATAAAATATCACTGCAGACACCAGTTCATCTCGACGAAAACCCGACTGAGATATTATACCACACTACGATACCCTTCTACGGCGTACTATTCGGTGCAACCGCACTCGTAATCGTAGTCGTGCTACGACGTTATGGACTTACGAAATGCAGAAAAAATGAAGCCTCCGATCCAGCCAGTACTGAGTACCACCAATATGCAAGACCTACACCCCCAGAGCCGAGAACCCATAGAAATCAAGGAAAACCAAGAAAACCTGGAGATAAGGACCCACCAGCAATATTTGATCTAAAAATTCTCAAATAGTTGCTGATCTGAGGGGGGAGAAATTACATACATAGAATACAAGTAAAGCGCTGACTTCGCCCATGCAAGTGGGCCATCGAAATTATTGCCACACGGCGGAAATGCTGTCGCTGCGAAACGTGAACGCCGCGCCGCCGCGTGACCGCCGTCGCCGCGACACCAGGGCCATCGTCATCGGATCACTTTGATTCTCACATCGATCGGGTCAATAGGTTTTAAGTAATATAATAATTGTAATTTCTTTATTTCTAATTAAATTTGTTATAAGTAATTTCGGTTTTTTTTAAGACCTCCGGCTGTCCATTTCATAATTTGCATTTGCTTTATAGAAAAATATCAACATATTTGATAAATAAAACAAATGATCTTCATCTCGGTAATCTGTGTTTTGCGTTATTTGTCACCACATGTGGCTACTTTATTTGTTATAAAAATAGATAAAGAATAGTTAGTCTATGGATGTAATGTCTATGGTTTTGCTATTGGCGTGTTGGTTGCCAAGTATGGTAAGTTCATAATAATAATTTGACTTAGTGGCACAGACCTAGATTGAAGTAGACGCCGCATATAGTTCAATCGTATGGAAACCGAGCGTGTCAGATTTTGAGTACTCACGAGAACATATAAGTGGTGAAAAAGCATGGGTGCCCGTCACTTTTTTCAATTATATCATTTTTACAGCTGAATATGACATAGTTAGATATTTTTTAAACATTACGATTGACGTTTGGTCTGGAGAACGGTGATGCGAAGGAATTAATTAGTAAAAATCTCTGCGGCGGGTTGAGGCGAGCACTGGTTACTGAACTATTTACAAATTACTAACCCAAAAATTTTGTCAGATGAATGTGAAAGCGACAATAGAGTCGTCGGTTCATAGTTTATACATAAGTTATATTTTTGTGTCTTTCTACAGAGTTATGCTTAAACTGAAAGACACAAAGTTATCCACAAAGTCTATCGATCAATTTGAATCATCGTTCGATTAGTTCGCGCCAAAAATTTCACACATAAGACCACAATCACAGTGGCGCCAACTGGAGGCGGAAATTTTTCTAAACACCCTCATTAAAAAAAAAATCGTCGTGCTCACCAGTATCCGGTTCCGTTTCGAAGCGCGTCCGCTCTTTGGACACGTGTCGCCACAGTTTGAGCAGCCGCGACCACATCGTCTGCGTCTCACTGCTGCGTTTCGGGAACAGAGTGCCATTCACCTGCCGCGTAAATAAATACTTCAATACAACAGAAAATTTTACTAAAAATCATTCAACTCGGCCAAGGTAATGAATGTAAATTGTATAGGTAGGTACTCTAATTGTCCATACAGTAGGTAGCGTTATCACGAACCAATATCGAATTCGAAATGAATTCAATCTCGACACGCGTCAAATGTCAAGAAGTTTTGTATGATTTTATTTTTATTTTCGTTACGTCAGTTGTGGTGCTGTTAAAATTTAAATACAAAAGTTCTTGATATTTGACGCTTATCGAGATCGAATTAAACTATTCGAATACGATTGGTTCGTGCTAAGGGTACAGAAACTTAAACTACTAACAAGTGTCCAAATAAAAAAACTGGAGTGCAACTCTTGACACGAATTCTCCGTTTGAGTTTCTTACAACAATAATTGTTTCCTTGTATAAAAGAGAAGAGTATTGTTTACGAAGTGTCTTGTGAAAGCTCGTAGTCGGGCACGAAGTCGCTGTGTGCGCGACTTCGTGCCCGACTACGAGCAGCATAGCTTGGATAGCAGCGTGCGCAGAGACAGCAGCAATCACCACGGCACCAGAGCAACTAAGAGGAGACCGTACTGTTGTCAAGTATCGGCCGAGATATGAACCTGCGACAGCTCGTAGTCGGGCACGAAGGGGCGCACACAGAGCAGCGTGCGCCGAGACAGCAGCGAGCACCACGGCACCAAAACAACTAACAGAAGAAATAAGAGAAGACCGTACTTTTGTTAAGTACCGGCCGAGATATCAACCTGCGACAGCTCGTAATCGGGCACGAAGGGGCACACACAGAGCAGCGTGCGCAGAGACAGCGGCGAGCACCACGGCATCAGAACAACTAAGAGAAGAAATAAAAGAAGGCCGTACTGTTGTCAAGTATCAGCCGAGATATGAACCTGCGACAGCTCGTAGTCGGGCACGAAGGGGCGCACACAGAGCAGCGTGCGCAGAGACAGCAGCGAGCACCACGGCACCAGAACAACTAAGAGAAGAAATAAAAGAAGGCCGTACTGTTGTCAAGTATCAGCCGAGATATGAACCTGCGACAGCTCGTAGTCGGGCACGAAGGGGCGCACACAGAGCAGCGTGCGCAGAGGCAGTAGCGAGCACCACGGCACCAGAACAACTAAGAGAAGAAATAAGAGAAGGCCGTACTGTTGTCAAGTATCAGCCGAGATATGAACCTGCGACAGCTCGTAGTCGGGCACGAAGGGGCGCACACAGAGCAGCGTGCGCAGAGACAGCAGCGAGCACCACGGCACCAGAACAACTAAGAGAAGAAATAAGAGAAGGCCGTACTGTTGTCAAGTATCAGCCGAGATATGAACCTGCGACAGCTCGTAGTCGGGCACGAAGGGGCGCACACAGAGCAGCGTGCGCAGAGACAGCAGCGAGCACCACGGCACCAGAACAACTAAGAGAAGAAATAAGAGAAGGCCGTACTGTTGTCAAGTATCAGCCGAGATATGAACCTGCGACAGCTCGTAGTCGGGCACGAAGGGGCGCACACAGAGCAGCGTGCACAGAGACAGCAGCGAGCACCACGGCACCAGAACAACTAAGAGAAGAAATAAGAGAAGGCCGTACTGTTGTCAAGTATCAGCCGAGATATGAACCTGCGACAGCTCGTAGTCGGGCACGAAGGGGCGCACACAGAGCAGCGTGCGCAGAGACAGCAGCGAGCACCACGGCACCAGAACAACTAAGAGAAGAAATAAGAGAAGGCCGTACTGTTGTCAAGTATCAGCCGAGATATGAACCTGCGACAGCTCGTAGTCGGGCACGAAGGGGCGCACACAGAGCAGCGTGCGCAGAGACAGCAGCGAGCACAACGGCACCAGAACAACTAAGAGAAGAAATAAGAGAAGGCCGTACTGTTGTCAAGTATCAGCCGAGATATGAACCTGCGACAGCTCGTAGTCGGGCACGAAGGGGCGCACACAGAGCAGCGTGCACAGAGACAGCAGCGAGCACCACGGCACCAGAACAACTAAGAGAAGAAATAAGAGAAGGCCGTACTGTTGTCAAGTATCAGCCGAGATATGAACCTGCGACAGCTCGTAGTCGGGCACGAAGGGGCGCACACAGAGCAGCGTGCGCAGAGACAGCAGCGAGCACAACGGCACCAGAACAACTAAGAGAAGAAATAAGAGAAGGCCGTACTGTTGTCAAGTATCAGCCGAGATATGAACCTGCGACAGCTCGTAGTCGGGCACGAAGGGGCGCACACAGAGCAGCGTGCGCAGAGACAGCAGCGAGCACAACGGCACCAGAACAACTAAGAGAAGAAATAAGAGAAGGCCGTACTGTTGTCAAGTATCAGCCGAGATATGAACCTGCGACAGCTCGTAGTCGGGCACGAAGGGGCGCACACAGAGCAGCGTGCACAGAGACAGCAGCGAGCACCACGGCACCAGAACAACTAAGAGAAGAAATAAGAGAAGGCCGTACTGTTGTCAAGTATCAGCCGAGATATGAACCTGCGACAGCTCGTAGTCGGGCACGAAGGGGCGCACACAGAGCAGCGTGCGCAGAGACAGCAGCGAGCACCACGGCACCAGAACACCCAGCACGAACATCATGTTCCAACTCCAACACCACGTCCTGTGCCACAAACCTCGTTTACTATCTCATCGGGCATGTGTGATCTCTCACACTTGCCTGCTTCAATAGGGTAGCCAATGGCTAATAAATTCGTCTAAGAATAAGTTGTTTTTGGTCTTTTTCTAGAGTTGTCATTTTCATGCAAGTGTCGCTCAGTCCATTCTCTGTCTATGAGGTAAACATAAATGAAATGTCATTTATTTAGTTTAGGCTGTGAGCACAAGCACTTGTGAAGGTCAAGAAGCTACGCCATCATAGAGGTAGACCCAGACAGCTCAGTAATGAGATCTTATAGAGCCATTATCAAAATAAATTTATACATTGAATGATCAGATCCTTTAGTTTTTAATAAAATGTACCGTGGCTAATTTTTAAATTAGTTAATTAGCAGTTTAAATGTTTCTGATTACATTCGCTCTCAAAACATTAAAAACGAATTATCACATCCAGTAGCCCAAAGAAGGAATCGAGATGTGGATGTGTAAAACTGGCAATCACCAGAAAGGCCATCGCGTACTGGTACTTCTGCTTATATCCTTCTCGCCTAGGTACACCGAAGGGTCAGATGAAGCGTCACTGTGTAAACGGCTGACGAAACCAATACAGAGGCGTTCTCTTAGTTGTCTTAAAAATCAAGAAGTGGACGAGCTTCTCGATCGACTCGAACAAACGAATTTAGGTCTTAGTAATGCAGTATGAGGGTGAGAATGGTGTGATAACCAAGTTGATTATATTTAACGCTTGCATCTTTAGAACACGGAACAAAAAAATAATTCTCCAAGAAATTAAGCGGTGGTATGTAAGTATAACTTACCTATGGGCAAGGTTGACCAATCTCCAACCAGGCCATCGGGTGCTGGTAGTTCTGCTAGTATCCTTCTCAGCTAAGAACACCGGTTGGGAGGGATCGGATCGAGGCGTCACTATGGAAGTGGCTCTCGAACTTAATACGGTGGGAATTCTTTCAGATCGTCCCCGGAAATGACGCACTACGACCCAGTTCTGTGGCGTCCAGATTCGAGTCGCCCAGGTGAACTCGCGTGTTGGTGTTTTCGCTGCTCGTAATTCCTGTAGGAAAATGATGGGCATTATATTATTATTATTATTATTTTTAGCGTGTTAAATTATCGCCCCACTAATTCATTACGACAAAACTAACTAAAATTTCGAAAGCTAATTTTTAGCGCCTTTATAACCAAAGCGGGTGGCTTTGGTTATAAAGGCGCTAAAAAGCTTGCTCGCGTAGGTATAGCAGAAAAATTAGAAATATAATAATGTTTTGCTGATGGGAGATAGTAAGAAATGTATTCACGTAGGGTTCAAGCGTCAAGGGAAATCAAAGGAACTATGCAGTCATATTTCCACAGCGCGTTCCATACAGTGTACCTCAGTAATTTACAACTCTTTAGGAAGAAACAAAACACTAGCCAGCGCAGTAAACTGTGAAGTAAAATTATGCAAAGAAATGTGGAATGGAAAGACGAAGCAATATGGCAGGCCCTAATTGTCTATGTATTAGTTGTTTTTTGTCTCTTTTTCTTGTCATTTTCATGCCAGTCTTTTTTATGTTGAAATAGTGGTAAACAAGCATATTACCTGGTAAGCGGCCACCATAGACGCTTGCGATACCACAAATATCGCTCGCGCTGTTGCTTACCCAATTCCAAACCCCGTGGAGCCCAGGAACCTTACTCACTGACAGAAATACAACAACACCAAAAGGCAGTGTTATTTTATTTCACTACGATCTTCTGTAAGGTGAAGTTTACTTCCGCAATTCGAGCGGGAAATCTGCTATGCCCAACCTTTTAGTCACGTGCAGTCTATTCTGTATGTCTGTTTGAGGCGACAGCGCTCGGGTTCTCACTGAACTGAAATCTGAGCATAGTTGCGTTTATTGGTAACTTATGGACGTCATTAAGTTCCTACACAAGTCACCTTCAGTAGCAAAGGTTCTCGCTCCCTCGGGAAAGCGAGGTCTTGCAGCTGAAAGTAGTCTACAAACGACTGCTTTTAAATAAGGTCTCTTACTGGGAGTTATGTAACTCACTCATTTAGCAATGCTTTGCTAACTTCATAGCTACTATTAAGTTTCAATCGTACTTTAGATAATGCGGTCGTCCTTTCTCCCTCAGGAAGGCGAGATCCCGCAGCAGGAAGTATCGATGCTGAGCAAGCGGGGGCGCGTTCATAGCGGCGGCTGCATCTTCTAAATGTGCCAATTGAAGTTCCATCTTCAGTTAGAAGAGGCTGGCTACCTTTATATGCGGTCTTTACGTGGGTTTTCATTGACTCACCTTCAATAACAAAGGTTCTCGCTTCCTCAGGAAGGCGAGATCCCGCAGCAGGAAGTATCGATGCTGAGCAAGCCGGGGCGCGTTCATAGCGGCGGCTGCATCTTTTAAATGTGCCCATTGAAGTGCCTCCTTCAGTCTAGAAGATGCTGGCTACCTTTATATACGGTCTTTGCGGGGGCTTTCTTTGACTCACCTTCAATAACAAAGGTTCTCGCTTCCTCAGGAAGGCGAGATCCCGCAGCAGGAAGTATCGATGCTTAGCAAGCCGGGGCGCGTTCATAGCGGCGGCTGCATCTTTTAAATGTGCCCATTGAAGTGCCTCCTTCAGTCTAGAAGAGGCTGGCTACCTTTATATACGGTCTTTGCGGGGGCTTTCTTTGACTCACCTTCAATAACAAAGGTTCTCGCTTCCTCAGGAAGGCGAGATCCCGCAGCAGGAAGTATCGATGCTGAGCAAGCCGGGGTGCGTTCATAGCGGCGGCTGCATCTTTTAAATGTGCCCATAGAAGTGCCTCCTTCAGTCTAGAAGAGGCTGGCTACCTTTATATACGGTCTTTGCGGGGGCTTTCTTTGACTCACCTTCAATAACAAAGGTTCTCGCTTCCTCAGGAAGGCGAGATCCCGCAGCAGGAAGTATCGATGCTGAGCAAGCCGGGGCGCGTTCATAGCGGCGGTTGCATCTTTTAAATGTGCCCATTGAAGTGCCTCCTTCAGAAGAGGCTGACTACCTTTATATACGGTCTTTGCGTGGGCTTTCTTTGACTCACCTTTAATAACAAAGGTTCTCGCTCCCTCAGGAAGGCCAGATCCCGTAGCAGGAAGTATCGATGCTGAGCAAGCCGGGGCGCATTCATAGCGGCGGCTGCATCTTCTAAATGTGCCCATTGAAGTTCCTCCTTCAGTCTAGAAGCGGCTGCCTCAACTTTCTCCCGTCGCCACGCTCGAGCCGTGCATAGAACTGGATGGGTAGCGCATATTCTTGCTTCAGCGGTGGCTAAACCAGCTTCTAGTTTGCGGCGGACGCCTTCTTCCGCTCTGCGAGGGAAAAAATACTTAATGTGACAAAGTGCAGATGTTAAAAATTGCTCTTGCAGTATTATGTTAACGTCTTCATTAACATGAGCCTATTGGCGTCCCTACTGCTGGGGCACAGGCATTCCCTATGGATGGAATAGGGAGACTAGGCTATGACTCACCACGCGGGCCCAGTGCGGATTGGCGGGTGCTAACGACTGCAGATACAGCCGGGACCAACGGCTTAACATGCCTTCCGAAACGCAGAGGAGCTAAATTATAATAATCTTTGTGATGTTAAATTCTCCTCCACGGCCCTCTTCTGAACTCACTCAGAGCACCGGGGGAACAATGAAAGAAAACCAACAAAATTAAGATAATGTTATAAGTATATTTTATCCACTTTAGATACCAAAGCATAGGAATTCAGTAGTTTTAAGTTATTGCTTATATAAATCAACAAGCCTAACTATGTTTATTATTTATATAATAACTATGTTTCACTAATTATAAATATCTAAGCTGAATACAGTAGTTCAAAGTTAATGTGTATATAAACCAATAAGTTGTCATGAAAGGTTATAATTATATGAATATCAGACATTCAAAACACTTTACCATGTACTTACATGAATTCTCAACTATATCTAATATATTTTATCCACAAATACCACATAGACTAGACCGAATAAGCTATTTAGTGGATTTCAGAGGTTCTACGGCTCGTTTGATCGATATTGGTGACAAACTTAGTTGATTCTAGTTCTCAGTGAGATAACCAGTTATATAGATATATGTATATATATGGAAATGGGTAAGTCGGGGTCCAACCTCGCCTGGCGGTTCTTCTCCACGCTCACCCGGGGTTAGTAGAGAAATACCTTGATTATGATAGGTTTAGCTGTGTATAATCTGTCTGCTGTTACGGCCGGGTTACATAAAACCGGAGAGCGGCTGGCAAATAAACTCCCGCGTCCCTTCTGGTCCGTGTACAGAAAAAAAGTCTCCTTGTTAGTCCTCCAGTATTTCTTGAGGGGAACGTACAAGCCTGAAGTTCACATTGAAAAAAAATGATCAGATATGGGGAAAACACATAGATTGCCACATCGGTAGTGGGTGAGGGAGTGAGGGATATTCACGGTCAATGTTTACACTTTAAAATTTGAATCACTACATGACTGGGGCCCGTCCCACCGGATTGAAGGAAATCAATTCCATGTTCACTAACTTGACAAGAATGATTAGGTATATTTGATGACAAGAATCACTATATTGTGCATAATGCAGTTCAATTAGTGCTAGGAGAATAAATATGAGGTCAGATGATAGCTTACCGTTCGAAATATGAAACTATCCGTAAGTATTTTGTTTCCTATCACAAGTTACCGCCTTATTATGGCAACGCCTTGCGAAGGTTCGTGTTCGTCCACCTACGATACAGAATATCAACAGAAAGGTTATTTTTCACAGCCCAAACTTGCAAAATAAGTAGGAAAAAGGGTTACTCCAATATACCTGTGTAACTCAGTTCGGTTAGCGACTCCGCGCTTTTTCCGCCAATATCCTTCAGGATATAAACTTTTCGGATCTATTTCACGACTCCGATGACTATAATATGCCTTTTATTATACTTTGGGCAGAAGAAAAAATGAAAAGTTAACTGTACCACAAACAGATTGTGAAATTTTAAATGTTGTTTTGACAATTGCTCATAGATGATAGACGGGTCGTCCACTCCCAAACATGTGTCTATGATTTGTTTCCCACTTCAACTGAAGGCAAAGGCCACAGTCAAACAGACAGCCGCCGCATTCGAGACGAACCGAAGAATAAACTCAAAACTATATACCTACGCTCGCCGTAAGCTGAGGAAAAGGGAATACCTACCCAAATCAGCGAGGAAATTCAATTTCGAGTAAAATTCAAAATCGATTAAAAACAGCACCCGATAAGGAGGACTCAAATCGATCTGGGAAAGACTATTCAAAATTCAACAACTGTCAAACTCCATCCATTCATCCACGCGCCCCCACAGAGATTCACTGCCTGATTACTTTTTTTTTTTTTTTTTTTTTTATAAGTCTCAAGGCGAATATTTTAGTCGAATAGGAAAATCGACTCTTCCCTCAAGGCTACCAACCCAATCAATGAAGTTTGACAGCTACGCTGACGTAAGCGGTTCGCTATCATAGACAAAACAGCTGTCCTACGTGTGTCAGTGCCACGCTCTGTTTAAAAACAAACACTACATCTTTTGGACAGACAACAGACAGATACACACTCTCACACACACAGGCACCTGACCAAGATGGCGGTGGCACGTAGTTGGCCGGCAAGAAGTCCCGGCACGTCTGGCTCCAGCGCCTGCAGTTGTTAGCATCCAGCACGTCACACAGACAGGCACCTGGCCAAGATGGCGGCGCGGCAAGTAGTTGGCCTGCCAGCAGTTCCGGCACGTCTGACCCCAACGCCTGCAGCTGTTCGCATCCAGCACGTCACACAGACAGACACACACACAGGCACCTGGCCAAGATGGCGGCGGCACGTAGTTGGCCGGTCAGCATTTCCGGCACGTCCGGCCTCAGCGCCTGCAGTTATTCGCATCCAGCACGTCACACAGACAGACACACACACAGGCACCTGGCCAAGATGGCGGCGGCACGTAGTTGGCCGGCCAGCAGTTCCGGCACGTCTAGCCCTAGCGCCTGCAGTTGTTCGCAGCTCAGCACGGCATCACACACCCGAGATACGTATTCGCGCATCGCGGCTGCTCGAACTTCCTAAAAGACAAACACTCAACACAATTAAGAGTAATTGATCAAAATTATAAATCTGACATAATATAGACGTCCATTGTGAAAAATGAACGTATATATCTCAATAAATGGTTTTTTAATCTTTTGCCTTTTTTGTTAGAAAAGCTCAAAACGTCGCAACATATCTTCATCTTATCTGTATTTTTAAAAGATTGAAATAAAAATCTTGCAAATATATGACATAAATTTGACAATTATTTCACCATTCGCCTCCATCGTTCACCAATGCGCAACGAGAGGTCGAGACCGCTCGTTGACGTCGAGCGATTCAAAAATACGGAATTTCTTATGTCAAGTCAAAATTATTATAAATCGAGCGTTCGACGCAAGGTGATAAAAAATTATAGCTCCTGAATCGATCCTACAAACTGTCCCAGGACGGTATGTAAGCTAGATGTCAGTATGCATATTGTGTTGTGATTATCACCAATTTACTATGGCTCTGTGCAAGATGCATGAAAACCAGTACCACCCAGGCCGCGGCGATACCGCTACCGCTTCCTAACGTTTTAGTTCAGAAATTGGTAAAGTTATAAAAACACTCAAAAACAACTAAGCCATAAGATTTCATAAAATGATTTATTTATTCTAGAAAATGGTAAAAAGTTTAGTAATCGCGGCAAGTGCAGCAGTGATTACAATAGAAAATAATATCACCACGGATCTTCAAAAATGGAGCTACGTCGTGAATCAAATGAAAAATGTTATGTACACTTTGAAACCCGTTCAAACACTATGAAATTATTTAACAGTTTATATAGTCAAATTAAAATTTTAGATTGTTATATCTGAGAAAACTAGCATTGATTTGTTTTACACTAGCGTTCCATCACTGAGGCGGGTATTGAGCAGTGCATTTTTTGACGAATAGACAATTGTACAAAGCTCTTTTTTGTAATTATTATGTTAAAAGTGTGCTTAATTATGTTGTTATATGTTTTTATTGGTGAACACCTGTAATTCGATTTTTGTTATTATTTCAATTTTTATTCTTTTTATTAATAGCTGTAGGTCTACCAAACATAAAAATAAATAAATAGTGAAAGTTACCTCCTCAATATCTTTCATGGGCATCTTCTGACTGGCCAGCTGAGCGGCGCGTCGTTCCCTGAAGTGCAGGAACCAGCCCCGGGACTCGCGCTCCAACACCGTTTGCAGCGGTGCAGCCGCGCGACGTAGTAACTCGCGCCGGTACAGCCGCAGGTCAACCTGGCGACAATTTTTAGTATAAAAATTTGGGTAAGTTGAACATTGTTAATAATATTGTTGTACCATTCACCAATCCGCACTGGGCCCGCGTGTTGAGTCATAGCCCAATCTCCCTATTCTATTAAAAAGAGTATTCTACTCACCAATACGCATTGGCCTCAGTGCGGAATGGGCATAGTGCGGAATGGTCCGCTGCGGCGTGGTGTAGAGGCAGGGCACGCCTGTCGCGCCTTCGTGTGTGTTGCACTACTAGCTTGGTAGTACAGAGGCCGGGTCGCTTACCTAGGTCCGCTGCGGCGTGGTGTAGAGGCAGGGCACGTCTGTCGCGCCTCCGTCTGTAATGCACTCTAGGGTATTAGTACAGAGGCCGGGTCGCTTACCTTGGTCCGCTGCGGCGTGGTGTAGAGGCAGGGCACGCCTGTAGCGCCTTCGTGTGTGATGCACTACTAGCTTGGTAGTACAGAGGCCGGGGCGCTTACCTTGGTCCGCTGCGGCGTGGTGTAGAGGCAGGGCACGTCTGTCGCGCCTCCGTCTGTAATGCACTCTAGCGTATTAGTACAGAGGCCGGGTCGCTTACCTTGGTCCGCTGCGGCGTGGTGTAGAGGCAGGGCACGTCTGTCGCACCTCCGTCTGTAATGCACTCTAGCGTATTAGTACAGAGGCCGGGTCGCTTACCTTGGTCCGCTGCGGCGTGGTGTAGAGGCAGGGCACGTCTGTCGCGCCTCCGTCTGTAATGCACTCTAGCGTATTAGTACAGAGGCCGGGTCGCTTACCTTGGTCCGCTGCGGCGTGGTGTAGAGGCAGGGCACGTCTGTCGCGCCTCCGTCTGTAATGCACTCTAGCGTATTAGTACAGAGGCCGGGTCGCTTACCTTGGTCCGCTGCGGCGTGGTGTAGAGGCAGGGCACGTCTGTCGCGCCTCCGTCTGTAATGCACTCTAGCGTATTAGTACAGAGGCCGGGTCGCTTACCTTGGTCCGCTGCGGCGTGGTGTAGAGGCAGGGCACGTCTGTCGCACCTCCGTCTGTAATGCACTCTAGCGTATTAGTACAGAGGCCGGGTCGCTTACCTAGGTCCGCTGCGGCGTGGTGTAGAGGCAGGGCACGTCTGTCGCGCCTCCGTCTGTGATGCACTCTAGCGTATTAGTACAGAGGCCGGGTCGCTTACCTTGGTCCGCTGCGGCGTGGTGTAGAGGCAGGGCACGTCTGTCGCGCCTCCGTCTGTGATGCACTCTAGCGTATTAGTACAGAAGCCGGGTCGCTTACCTTGGTCCGCTGCGGCGTGGTGTAGAGGCAGGGCACGCGGGGCACGGGGCGCGGCGTTTGTCGCGCGTCGGTTTTCTCTGACGCCGCTCGTCGCATGGCGCGCGTTACCCACGCTGCCAATGCTGCGATGTCCTCCTGATTTTCAGGCTGATAGACAACAATAACAGAATAGGCTGTTTAACTTATGGTATATAGTGTGTTTTTGGATGTGTAACATCTTTCCTCTCGCTTTCCTGCAATTTGTGGGAGTGATTTCGTGAAATGGGACGGAAGTGTGTAACAGGAAGTCGCGAAAGCGCGCGCTATTTGATTTGATTTTAGAACATAATATTCAAACGTCTTATTCCTTTTGTAGTAGGTTTTATTTCTTTTTTACTAATATAAGGTGAGGTTTCAAATGTTACACATCATACGCGACTACTGTAAGGTTCGCTCGTTGATACTCTTTTGCAAAAAAAAACAGGCACTTTAGTTATTTTTCTCTACTTCAATAAATATTACAAACAGAGGTTTTATAAAATTTGACGATGTATTGGCATGTTATTTGAAGCATCCTAGCATGATTCTTTACGTTCCCAATTAAAATTTTGAAATTAACAATAGTAAAATAATGATGACAGTGGATTATCGTAAAATTGCTTTACCAATGGCGCGGATTGCTGAAACGATTTTTGACTGATTTCTAAAATAAAAAAAATGAATATTTGTTCCAAATTAAACAATTTAATTTTTCTTTTTACATTAAATACCACTTTCTGATATGAGTGGTAAAGCGATAAGGGCCGGTAAAATTATAGCCTTACTTGAAGAAGGTTGTTCGCAAACTTACGTGTATCAGCGGCTAAATTTGAGTCGTTCAGTTGTCCAGAGATTGATCAAAAGAAGAGCCGGTTCGGGAAGAAAACCAGAAAATGCACAGAACCAAGAGAAGATCGCATGGAGGCAGAAGAAACAGCTACTCACGTTCTCCTGGAATGCAACGGAGTGGCCGAATACCGGGCGAAATACCTCGGCTCACCAGGAAACCTTCAAGAGGCAGTCACCAATGTGAAGGCCCTGGGGGCGTTCCTGGCGGAGCTTGGCTGGCTGGAGTGACTCCGGTCATACACCCTCCTCACGCAAAACAGGCGCCATAAAGACGTCGAGTTGCGGAGACGCCCGTAGCAAGAAGAAGAAGAGAGAAGATCGCTTTTAGATGAGTCAGTCAGTCAGTCAGGCGTTGCTGAATCGTAAGGTATCAAATGTGTGGACCTAAAGAAGAGCCTTGAAGAAGTAAGAAGAGTAGAAGTTAGCTTGTGGACGGTCAGGAAGAAGCTTTTGACTACTAATATCAGGAGTTATCGCCCGGCGTGGGGCCCTAAATTACACCATGAGCACCGTGTTGCTCGACTTCAGTTTCCTCGACACTGTTATTAATGGATTCTGGAGGACTGAAATAAAGTATTGTTTTCTGATGAAGGTAGAATCTCTGTGGAGAGGACCGACGCAGGCCAGTGCTGCGAACCCCAATGGGGACGCTATGCGGAAGTGTGTTTCAAATAAACTACTCCTTATGGCGGAGGCTCCGATGTTTTGGGCAGCAATTAATTCGACGGAGCGTACCGAGTTATTTTTCAAAGAAAACGTAACATTAATTGTACTCCAGTACATAACGGAAGTCCTAATTCCATATGCGCAACCCGCATTGAGTGCATAAGAGGAAGATTCCATTTCTGGCGACGACATGCTAGATGTTGGGATCCGTCGTTTAGATTGGCCAGCTCGAAATCCTGACCGCAATCTAATTGAGCATGTCTGGGATGTTCTAAAGAGACGGGTAAGATCAGTGCAACCTGCTCCACCAAACATCAGATTGCAGTCATTGCAGAAGAGTGGGAACGTATTCCTCAAAACGTTATTAAAAACATGGAACGTGGAAAGCATGCCCATAAGAATTCAAGGTGGGATTTTAGCAAGAGGAAGATCATACTCGTTATTCGGTTTTTACAATTGAAACTTTATTTAATAAAAAAAAAACTTGACTTTATTCTCGATCATTTTGCCGTGTACATCGGTTTTAAAGAATTCATCGAAAAATAAGCCAGAATTCACTTCACGTGCTTTAATTTACACAATTATAAGTATAAAGGCTATGTCAAACAATTAAATTTTATTTAATTAACTGAAATCGACCTTAGAACGTAAATTTCCTTAGGTGCTCCTTGTTTTTGCAAAAGAGTATATGAACTATAAATATAATTCATGATTTAGTTATAAATACTCGGATTCCTACGAACCGAATGAGAGAGATTTGCCTCACCGGGATTCGAACCCGAGACGTCTGGAGTAGACGACACCTTGAAACCCGGCGTACATGCCACTCGCAATACGGAGGACGTCAATTTAGTAATTTGTTAGCATGCGCCTGCTGATGTAAGTTTTAAAACTTAGCTTATTACTTAATTTACTTAACTTATGTTAAGTATTTTTAATAAGAAAAGTTGATTGACTATGGAATTCAAGTCATTGGTGTCAATGACTTGGGATGACATCAAGTGCTGGTAACTGCTCATAATGCAAATAAATAAGATGTAAACACCTTTTTGATGCTATTTTGTTGGGTTATTATGTATCTAAAAGATGAAATGAAAGAATTAAAAAAATCGACCTATCCTAGGTTCCAGTTCCGTTCGTTATGTGGGCGTATGCACTGACTATTTTGCTATTAGTAGCAAGCTATTAGGAGGTCTTAGGACCTCCTTCACCATAGTGCCATAGGTACCCTTAGCACGAACCATTATCAAATTCCAATAGTTCACGAGTCCGAAATGTCATTGTCAAATTTTGTATGAAAACTTGAACAGCAGCGCCATAACGTACATATCGAGAACTAAAAATCAGTACACATTTGACAATGACATTTCGTACTCGCAAACGATACGAATTCGATATTGGTTCTTGCTAAGGTAAGGTTTAAATTAAAATTTTCTTGAGGTACAAAAACCTATCAGCTGATAAATAACGAAAATTGTATAGCCATTTTCGATTGCAAAAGCGTTATAATTATCTTTTTTACATTGTAAACGAAGAGATTGTATTAAAAATGGCTTTATATCTTGTAGCTGTACTGTATCCTTTATTTAGTGTAGCAATATTTGTAAGGCAAATGTTTTAACGGACGTATCTTCAACTTTACATATTGTGAATCAAAGGTGATTTTGGAATAAATATCTCATAATATATAACGCACTGGCAGTTTCGATATTGAACCACTTGTGTTTATAGTAATTGAATATAAAGACTGTGCTATAGTAATTCACAACTGAGACAATTTACAAACTTCGTTTCTATTATTGTCTTGACCGTTAATAAAATTCCAAGGTCTCGCAAATTCTGATACACGACTACGAACTAGTTACTTGGTTACAAATCTATCTACCCCTACATAAAAGGTTAGTATGATAAAGAAGCTCGATGGAGCTCGATGGCGCTCGATGGTGCAAGTGGTTAGCACGTTCGGCTGCGATCGTTGAAGTTAAGCAACTTTAGCAGTGGTCGGTCATTGGATGGGTGACCAAAAATGTGTGCTTCGGAAGGCACGTTAAGCCGTTGGTCCCGGCTGCATCTGGTCCCATCTGGCGGTGGGTCATGGCCCAAACTCCCTATTCCATCCATAGGGAAGGCCTGTGCCCCAGCAGTGGGGACATTAATAGGCTGATGATAATGGTAATAAAGAAGCAAAACCTATTGTTACATTTGGCGGTCTCATTTAGAGTTAAGGAATATTTCTTTCCAGCCAAAGTATGGAGGAATAGAATGGGGCGATATATGGCTCGGAATTGAGTTCAGAATAAAATAATTAATGAGACAAATCTAACAGTTACTGTTAATATTTAAATTTTAATTTCAATAAAATGTCGATTTATAGAAAAGTACATCGAATTTTCGACTTTATTATCGCTTACTTAATAACATCATATTAGTGTCTTCTTTCTTACCTTACAGATGAGCTCAGCTACTAAGTAGCGTGATCTTTCTTCGCGTATTTTTTTCTCCAGATCACGCGCTTCCAAGGACGGCATACCGAAAATGAGATCTAAAAGTCTGAAAATATTATACTAATCAGTATTATAAATTTCAAAAAAAGAACATTGTTATTTACTCGCGCTTCACTCAGCGCTGAAACTTTTTTGAATAATGTTATGAAACTTTTTTTAAGAAACATGAATTTAAAGTTCTTAGAACACCCCATGCCATGGTTTCAAAATAAAGGATTCATATCATGGGTGTAGATAAAGTTTTGTATGCAACTATTTTAGGTATTAAAGCACTCATGTTGTACGACGACCTCCGTGGCCGCGTGGTTTGTACGCTGGGTTTCAAGGTGTCGCCTACTCGAGAGGTCCCGGTATCGAATCCCGGTCGGGGCAGATGTTTGTGTGATGAATACGAGCATTTGTACTCCAGCCATGGATGTTTAATTTGTATTTCTATTAGTCCAGGCAACGAAAAGGTATAGAGGGAATTGCTTAGAACACAATTTTTGACTTCGTGACTTTGTTAGGACTAGTTAGGAGGTAAACATATCAAAAGTCCCCGCCCGTAGCCCTTAAGCTGGGGGGAGGGGGGGGGCTTGAAGGTCCCATTATTAGGTTTTTCGCATATATCTCGAAAACTATGCATCCTAGCGACATGAGACTTTCACAAAAGTGAAAGCTGATTAAATTTGCTACAAGTCTTATTCAGTCAAATTTTTTGATATCTTGTATAGTTTTCGAGATATCCGCTCTTGAAAGTCTGTAATTATGGAAAAAAAATTGTTCCCATTTTTGCTCTATTTGACCGGATAACTCTTCAACAATGCACCCAAAAAATAAATGCCAGCCGTAGGGTTGTAGAGCATTAAATTATCTTCAATAATAGAAACAATTGCCTTTTTTTTTTATTTAAGGACAAAATTGTTAGTGTAGTAGACGTATGGGGGCGGTACGGTGGGCACTAGGCCGCGTACTCAGCCCCCACGCGCGGGCCGTCCTGCGCACGTCTGTGGAGTCCTCGCGATACCCCGGGAGACCCCTGCCGCGGAACCTCGGCAAGGCCGGGAGGCTGCTAGGTGCGGAGACGCGGAAGAATCCCTAAACGGGGATTCCGCGGCTTCGCACTAAGCAGCTTAGAGGGTGTTCGCAGGGTTTTTTAGCGGATATTATGCCGTATAGCGCCCGTAAGGGTTACGGGGTCCTCAGTGGGCAGCCACTGCTGGGGCTCGTAAGGCTTGCGGGAGCCAGGTGTGAGGTCCGTTCGGCGGTGTGCCTCTTAAAGGCGCCGTCGTCTGTAAATAGTATTTTTTGCCTGCGTATAAAAAAAAGGGTAGTAGACGTATTGACTAAAGGGGGTCGCCCGGTAAGAAAACTGGCAGTGTTGGCCGTTGCCTAAATAAGTAGGTGTCTACACCGCCGGGGGCCATGTTCACGACCAACACTACCTATTACATGATTTTTTGATTTTCTGTCGATGCACGAAAGACTGTGCAAGCGCGAAGTGAGGCTGCAAAAAAGCAAGCCTCAAATGTTCCCCAGCGTGCCAAAATTGCCAGGGGAACTGCTTGAATGGGGTCCCTCAAGTTGACTCCGAAGGTGAAGAAGAACAGGAGGATCCTCTGACCGTTTCCCTACAGGGTTCCGATGGAGAAGATGTCACAGAAAAAGAAAATGTAAACGAAGACGAGGATCAAGGTCCTTCCCACCCCAAAAGAGCAAGAAATTGACTATATTGGATTTTTTTACAAATCTCTTTTTGCTAGTCATAGTGAATTGTATCTAAAACTGCTGCCGTATTCGTACCTGTATAGCCAATGAGAACCGGAAAAAAACCAGAGGCACAGGGCCCTACCGTCTCAATTTTTTTTAAAGTTCAGTTTTATAATTTTAATCATTCTTAATACTACTTTTTGTGTTGAGCTGGACCAATACAACACCAGACAATCTTATCATTTAAATAATCATCTAATTTATAATAACCTTTTTTGCATAAAGTAGTTAACTCTTGCAGTTTTTTTAAACTTATTTTCTGGATTGTGTGAAGAACCTGGTCAGTGGGCCAACAAGTACATATTCTAAAATGAGCATGTGTGCTATTTAGACATCGGTGCATCGTTAAAGAGTTATCCGAGAGTTATCCGGTCAAATAGAGCATAAATGTAAAGCATTTTTTTTTTCTATAATTACAGATTTTCAAGAGCGGATATCATTATTACAGATATTATTATTAGATAATTACAGTTTCTCAATGACACTAATTTACTTTCTTTTTTACTTATGGACCTCACACCTGGCTCCCGCAAGCCTTACGAGCCCCAGCAGTGGCTGCCCACTGAGGACCCCGTAACCCTTACGGGCGCTATACGGCATAATATCCGCTAAAAAAACCCTGCGAACACCCTCTAAGCTGCTTAGTGCGAAGCCGCGGAATCCCCGTTTAGGGATTCTTCCGCGTCTCCGCACCTAGCAGCCTCCCGGCCTTGCCGAGGTTCCGCGGCAGGGGTCTCCCGGGGTATCGCGAGGACCCCACAGACGTGCGCAGGACGGCCCGCGCGTGGGGGCTGAGTACGCGGCCTAGTGCCCACCGTACCGCCCCCATACGTCTACTACACTAACAATTTTGTCCTTAAATAAAAAAAAAGGCAATTGTTTCTATTATTGAAGATAATTTAATGCTCTACAACCCTACGGCCGGCATTTATTTTTTGGGTGCATTGTTGAAGAGTTATCCGGTCAAATAGAGCAAAAATGGGAACAATTTTTTTTTCCATAATTACAGACTTTCAAGAGCGGATATCTCGAAAACTATACAAGATATCAAAAAATTTGACTGAATAAGACTTGTAGCAAATTTAATCAGCTTTCACTTTTGTGAAAGTCTCATGTCGCTAGGATGCATAGTTTTCGAGATATATGCGAAAAACCTAATAATGGGACCTTCAAGCCCCCCCCCCCCCTCCCCCCGGCTTAAGGGCTACGGGCGGGGACTTTTGATATGTTTACCTCCTAACTAGTCCTAACAAAGTCACGAAGTCAAAAATTGTGTTCTAAGCAATTCCCTCTATACCTCTTTTTGAGCATTCGTTGCCTGGACTATATATAAATATACATATATATGTATCAGTATATGTATTATATCCGTTACACTAGTATCCCATAACACAAGTCAGCAGTTCTAATTTGGTGCTAAGATAATTGGTGTGTGTTGGAAATATTTATTTATTCGTGTTTTAATACCCCTCATTATACAACAGTTGCATAAATAACTATTAATCAATAATGGATGAGAAGTGTGACAGGAAAACATAAAATGCGCCAGTTCGGTCCTGAGGCGATGGCTACCAGAGTAATGTGCCTACGCTTAAAACTCCTAAGCTGGAGCAATGTTTGATGCTTTGCCAAAACCACAAGAGATAATTATCATGATATAATTGTGTATGTATAGATTATAATGGCGAGCTCGATGGCGCAGGTGGTTAGCGCGTTCGGCTGCGATTTTTGAAGTTAAGCAACTTTCGCAGTGGTCGGTCATTGGATGGGTGACTAAAAATCTTCTATCTCGAGTTCTACCGTGCTTCGGAAGGCACGTTAAGCCGTTGGTCCCGGCGGCATCTGCAGTCGTTAGCACTTGCCAATCCGCACTGGGCCCGCGTGGTGGGTCATGGCCCAATCTGACTATTCCACCCATAGGGAAGGCCTGTGCCCCAGCAGTGGGGAGATTAATAGGCTGATGATGATGGTGATATTATAATGGATTGCTACCTGTGCAGCCCCGTGAGCATCGACTTGGCCCCGGTGATGACAGACAGCGGCTCATCCCGCAGGATTCTGTCCCTCGCCACTATGACAATAAGGGCCACAGCTCTAGCCACGTGACAGTACAGATCTTCGCGGGCTCGCGCGCGCCCCCTTTGCAGCCACCCTGCTACCCGCCACACGTGCGTCTGACCCGGAAACGTGCGCGAGGGCACCTCGAATTCCCTGCCATTACCAACCTTATTAACACCGACACAATAATCAAAATCGATTGTAGTTTAAGGGCTTTAAAGCACAGTGATGTTTACACTATTATCGCTTTGTATTATGTAAAAAATTGCAGAGAAAAACAGTATTTCATTTTAAATAAGCGTATGCTGCATTAGGTGCAAAGGTAAAACAGAGTTCGGTTTTCTTCGATAATGTCACCCAACTTTCAACCCAGAGTAGTGAAGTGTGTTCACACTAGAAACGAAAGGTGTAGTATGAAATTACATTGACATTTACGCTAGGATTATCGGAATACATAGTGAAATTCGCATTGCTAGCTTCATAAAGCTCTATTCTTTCGGTTTGAATCCAAGTGTGGAAATGTAGAAATAACGACATGGATGCCCGCAATGTAACCAGCGCTTCAAGAAGTATACAGAGATCAAAAAATCCGGCGACTGTTTCGGAAAATATCACAGTGCTTTATTAATTAATAACATTGAAATAAAATTGATAGTCAGTCATGCTTTGAAAATGTCTCTAATTCCTATCATATATGGAGTGGATCAATGGTGACGATGCAGGAAATACAAGTAAACAAAATGAAAAACTATTGTAAGACAAAACGGAAGCTTTTGATGAAAGCATGCTATGTAATACATAAATATGTAGCGGTCGAACATTTGTGCCGGTTGCGTAATAAATTCCGCGTTCCTTTTTTGTGGAATCGGCACAAATGTTGCTTGATTAAAGGATATTAATACACATGAATAATGTAACATAAATACAGGGCGACATACCCCCATTCGCGTATCGATTCCAACTGTTTAGCGTTTAGTTTCTTCATGTTAAATATTTTGTCCTTGTGCAGGCTTTACGAGAAACAAAATTATACATAAATAGGGTAGGCCGTTTAATATCTAAAACTTCTAGGAATATGTAAACAATAATGATTTCAAGCGCATCTAGCCCATCTGCAAGCCGCAAGCTATATAGATATTATAATGTATGTATGAAATGTATGTGTATATTATATAGTCATAATAATTATGATTATGTAGGGCTAATTTATTATCGGGTAAACTTTTCAATGGAATAAGCTCAACTAAGATTAACTAATAGTTATCTATAATTATTAAAAAGCGTTTTATATTTCACTGACAATTTCTTTTTCTAGAAGGTCTTAGCAGATTGGCGAACTGTGGGTACAATGCCAGTGCTCCTGCTTTTTGTTTTTAAAGGTCCTGGTTTCGAATCCCGGTTTAATGATGAGACCATTTTTTTCCGACTGTAACATCCATGTTAAGCAGTTAAATACACTTTTTAGTTCCCATGCTACAAGTTTGTATTAGGGATGGAAACTGCGAAGTTAGCTGTGCTATGTAGGTACTGTTAGAATACCTACTACGTGGTGCATCAACCAGCCTCATTTTTCCAATCTAAATCTTTTTCCTTTACGCCATTGTGGAGCTTAGGGCCACCACTAGTGTTGCCAGGTCCGATTTGTTTTAAATCGGTACATGAGGTCAAAAAAATCGGGATTTAGGGTTGCAGATCGGGACAGTAAACAAAAAACAAGGTGTTTTTAAGTCTGGGTTTAATTTATAGCGTTTTAAACTACTAGTGCAAGTATAGTATTACATTAATAACCTAAAAGACAATGGCGAAATATTTGTTGAAGTAAATCTTGAGCGTCTATAGATGTAATTATCAGAAATGTTAATAAAATAATCTCAAAAGATTTATTAAACAATTGTGGAGGATTGTCTAAGTCTAGAATTAAAAACTTAAAAAAGGGAAACACAATTGACTATTTATTTTTTATTTTTATTGTGGCTTGGCATCATGGCTTTTGAGCCATTTATTTTAAGTGATTTTAGTGATGAAATCAACTTTGAATATGTTGTTCGTATGTTTTGCATCGCTTTACGCTTAAACATTGGGATAAATATCGGGAAACATTATTTTGCATTATTATAACGGAACCATAATAAATATTTCCATAATACAAAAAGAGTATGGCGCCAATTCTAACGCAAAAAACTATAACTGTCACTGTCATGCTTGTCATCGAATTGTTGTTATTATTGATAATTATCATTACCGTTGCTTGTGCTTAAGTGCATGCGTATTGCAAAGATTTAAATCGGCATAGGTACTGTGTTTTTTTTTGAGACATGGACTGCTTTAGACTTTCGAAATCTTTCCCTGCGACTGTTGAGTAGTGCTTGCAGACTTCCGAATCTGATATTTTGGACGACTTTTTGCTGTGGATTTTGGACACGATTCTGTCCCATACTGTGGATTTTTTTTCATTGTATCTAATACCTACGATATTTTGATCACAGAGGTGGAATAAAAAATGTATAAAAAGTGTTTCATATTTAATTAATATCCCATTAGTACACTATTAGAAATCCTTTTTTGTACTTTATTATTGCTGTGGGCATTTTCAAATTGTTAAGTACTTCTTACAGCACAGACATTGTATAGGAACTCAATAAACCTTGTCTGTTATGTATTATTAAGTACCTATTTTGACGCGGTTGGTCAGTACCTACACCCACTGATCATACATCATAAAAACACATTTTTTTTCGTCACTAATCTACGGGACTGCTATACTTCTATAGGGCCGTTCCATGTATTTTTTATTTTCATACAAAAATATTCTTGAATATATTTTTATAATTCGTTTTTGTATTACTTGGTATGACATAACCTCTAAAACTTCAAAATAGAATATCTATAAATCCAGACTTCCTATAATAAAATAAATAAAACGAATGAAATCGAGAATCTAAACTTTATAATTCAATATGCAATTCATGTATAGACGCAAAAAAAAATTTCAACAAAAATTTATATGGGAGTTCGCCATTGTCCTTTCTTTTTTGATTAATCGGGACATTTAGCGTCCCGATTAGGTACAAATCGGGACATCCCGCGCAAATCGGGACACCTGGCAACACTAACCACCACCTACTTATAACAATTTAACACGAAACTTTTGAATACTTTTACTTTATTGTACTTAGTGACACAAAACCTTTTTTCTTCCTCCACATGGAGGAGGAAAAACGTTTTGTGTCATCCGAGAAAACGGAGTCAATTCTGGCATGATTCTCTAAACTTAATTTAACATCAGTTGCCCCTTTTCATTCTGTTTAGAGAATGTCAAATTTAAGTTTAGTTTTAGAGAATCATGCCAGAATCGAAACCAATGTATCATTAAGAACTAACGCACACTATATATAGATCAAAGAATTCAAAAAAATAATTTTAGGCCTATGCTTACATTTGTCTAAGTTGCTTGAAAAAATTATAAATAAAAGACTCGTCGTTTTTCTTAATGCAAACAACACTTTAGCTGCAAACCAATTTGGTTTTAGGTCTTGTAGAAGCACTGAAGATGCGGTGCTCGCGTTGACTAACCACGTAGCGTCAAATTTGAATATGAAATTAAAAACTGTAGCCATCTTTCTCGACACGTCAAAAGTATTTGTCTCCGTTTCTGTTCCAATCTTGCTAAATAAGTTCTCTAAATCTTGCTAAGAAAGAATAGGGGTCAGGGGGCTGGCATTTGATATTTTTGATGTGTAACATCTTTCCTCTCGCTTTCCTGCAATTTGTGGGAGTAATATCGTGAAATGGGACGGAAGTGTGTAACAGAAGTCGCGAAAGCGCGCGCCATTGGATTTGATTTTAGAACATAATGTTCAAATGGCTTATTCCTTTTGTAGTAGGTTTTTTTTTTACTAATATAAGGTGAGGTTTCAAATGTTACACATCATACTGTAAGGCTCGCTCGTTTTTTTGTTTATCGTGCATATTCGTACATATCGTGTCTATGTTCCAATAAAATCTATTTCATTTGATTTCAGAGGAGATGACGATGAATTGAAACATACAAAAACTACTATCTAAAATTACGTGACAACGCTCAAAGAAAACGCGATACAAAAATGCGCGACATTTGCTCGTTTAGAAATACGCAGTTTGCGTATGCCTTTACATTAGAAAGAGTTATTTTATAAGAACCAATGACCTATAAATTCAAGCGAATGAACATAAGTTTGTCACAAATATGTTAATAGACACATAAAATGCATATCAATATCTATGGCGGCCAGCGCCGTAATCAATATCAAACGTAATACAATATTAGATGAGAGATACCTACTCCTTTAATATAAAATTACGATAAGGGTTGCCAGTGTCACCCATAAATTCAATCATACATATAACTATGTAACATTTATTGACATTGCAACAGCTGTATTTCTTGTATTATATACGTGTCGTAGGATGATAATGATAAATCAAATTTCTGCGAAAATCCTAGGGATTTTGTGAAAACACGGATAATTATGCAATGGCGATGACATTGCTTAATCTTCCTGTTTACGAAATTTTTTCTGGCTTTCATGGTCACAACATTAACCAAAGCTGGTGTGAACCCGAGAACACAAAAAACCCAAAAATATTTTTATAATAAGCCAACGATTCTTTTCGCAATCTTACTGAGGCGACTGGCGTTTTCGCAAAAATCCTATCTTTTTTTCAGTAAAATTGGGAAATATCGTGACCATTGTCTAATAATGCGCGTTTACGCAAAATGCCTAGGATTATTTTATTACTAAAATTCAATTCGTCAAATACGAGGACACCCAAGACATACATATGGTATAGTAAACAAGGGATGGATGCTCTGTTGGTTCGACAATGTAGAATGAAAGTTTAACGAGAGAATTACGAAACAGCTATTTGACGCGAAAGGCTGTAGAAGACGGGGAACGTCACATCTCACTTATAACGATCAAATTCAATTTGACAAATTGTATCTATAAATTGTGTAATGTCAAGCCGCAAAAACATGGCTGGCGGGGGTGTTTAGCTATAATAGACATTCAGTTCGGTAAACTTAAGGTATTTTACATGCTAAAATATCCCTGCCACAACAGACTGACATGCACGAAAGGAGATTGCTCAGCTTCCATACATGTTTGGCCTAA